AATAACAGCATAACACTGCTGTATTTCATGTGGTGAGTCTTAGTCCTCAGAGGTGATAACAATTCTGCATTTTGATTCTTAATAATGAATAAATGTAGATGTCTATGGGTCACAACTTTCACTTATAACACAAAAAAACAAATTACTGCTTTTTTCTATATAGGTCATGATTCATTACTAATTTGTGTCTGGTAAACAGTGTAAGAAAAATTAAGAAAGTTGGACCTTGGGACTGGTAAATAACTACCAGTATCTACATGCGGTTTTAATTATTTTGCCAATTAGAAATTAGATTATCTATGTGTACTAAAGATGGACACACAAACAGCTTATACTCCTCAATTTGTACCTAAAAGACTCAATAAATAATTTTGCTGAGGTACATAACAAAAAACAGAAAGAAAATAATTATCAGGGTTCTTTATATGACATCAGAATTCTTAAAGTAGGAGTAGTATTTTATTAAGCATAGCAAATAATTGATCACTTATAGAAATAAAATGGTGTTTTTTATATTTCATGTTTTAAAATGTCAGATTTTTCTAATTTAACATAGAGTTGTTTTACATAATATGAAAATTACACATAGACAAACATAATGAGTCTGTGAGAAATGTCTACACATTCATGCCATTTGCTGTAAGGACTATTAGTCCATGGGGTCCACACCTAGTGAAGTACCTGAAGGAATTGTATATGTGACTTGAAGTCACCACTGGTGATAACAGGGCTGGATTTTTTATGAAAGGCTAAGTATAGCCATTCAGCGAGAAAATGCAACAAGAGTTCTTGGCACTATGCTGGATGGCATGGATGGGATGAATAGCAGGGAGTAAGACTGTATGATAATTTAAATTTTTAGTTATTTTTTTACTATGGTAATAAATATTGTAACAATATACAATTAGTTTGAACATATTTTTCTTTTAAGAGTTAAAATGCCACTTACAAACACTTTGAAATAAACATTTTCTTACCTATCAAATCAGAACAACAATGGACACACTGTCTTTAGGCAGATAAAGATTTTGTTAAAACCAATCTTACCAGCCTTGAACACGGATGCAAAGTAGCCAGTCTTTCGGTTTCTTACAGGATACATTTCGCAGTGTGCTCAGGTATTGCATAATTTAATTCCTCCCTCTTCCACCATCAGACAACCAGACATTCGGCCAGGCCTTCAGTCCTTTAGTTGTTGACTTACCACGCAATTGAAGAAAACGGTTTGCTACATATATCATGCGTACAGCAAAGGAGTGGAATAAGTTGCCAGCATCAGTGTTTCCATCCAATTAAAAAGTGGGTGTCTTCAAAGCAAGAGTGAATAGGCTTTTGTTAAATCAGTGCGCTTCACCATCTTAGGCTACATCACCACTTACCATCAGGTGGGCTAGTAGTTAAGCGCTAACTTAGAATATTAATTTAAAAAAATTGAGTTCTTCCTATTCAGCCAGACTTCTGGGTAGAAAAGAAGCCCCGCCTCGATAATGCACTCTTAATTAACTTTTGAACAAGTCATAAAACTTGTTACTTATAGTTATGTAGAAAAGATATCAGTAACAAAATTCATAACATACTTTAATATGGTACCTACCATAAGACTACTTTTTTCTTCTAAACAACAATTACCAAGAATGCTTAATGTCATATCAAGAATTTTTTCGTTCGGTTTACGAAGATGTGGTATTAAATTATCTAAACCACCACAATCTCTAAATAATTTCATACCCCTTTCGTTTGAAATAATATTATTTTTTATCTTCAAAAGACTGTCTTGAATACGACTTGATGATGTAGATTTCAATCCCTCTATAGTAGATTTAATGTGAGTTTTATCCATTTTGAAAAGTTATCAATCCAAAACAAATAATTTTCCACGAACAAAAATTTGTTGTCAAAATGTCAAATTGACATTGACAAGATTGACATAGTAAATTTTTTAAGCACTTTTTTTTGGAGTTTATGGCCTGGTATCTAGACCTTTAGGCCTATTTTTAAGCACTTTATCTTTTTTTTAAACAGAATATATAATAACTAAATTCTAGTAGTTAAACTCTATGCTTAAGACGTTTTACGTGATACAAAATAAGATTATTCTCACCTTCTCTCTTACAAGGTTGTTGCCATTTTCCCCCACGTTTTCTCATTATATTGACACCTCTATTGAAGTGTCATTAGCACAAACTAATAAGAAGTGCGAACAAAAACATTGTCGAAAAATTCATTTAATCTATAACTTAGTAAAATTAATGATATTGATTAATCCGGTTCGAAATACTTATTTGTATCACTGAATATTAATAGAAGTTTCGTCTAATATTTTACAACAAAAATGTAGTCGAATAATGCGGAAATTCGCACTATCGTGGTAATTTGAAATATATCGTGAAAAGTCACTATGAAATCTACTTAAATTCAGTGTAAGGGTTTCACAGGGAATACTACATGTAACCAAGTACACCTTTAGAATATTTTATATAATTGTTTGTAAAATCGATACCGGGTTTATTTCACGGAACGTACATAAAAGCCACTACTATGATTGTTCGCGCCAAACGCTAATTTTAAGAATTGACGCCAGAGGGCGCGGTGCATTCGTACCGGTTTGACGTTCGCGCGAGCAGAGTTGGTTTTGGGTGTGGCGCGTCGGAAGTTAAACAATGCAGTGCAGTCACTAGGACAGCGTGGTCGCGTACCGTATAACCTCTAATAGTGTCGGTTTTTGTTAGCAAGTTTATGCAACGACGAGGAGTTTGTTGAGTCTAGAAAAATAGATTATCTGCGCAGACGCCGGTTTGATTAATTGTTTTGGAAGTTAATATTGATTGCGATCAACGTCCGGTCTTTGATGCGTGTGGAATTTACTATTGCAGTTTTTTCGCTAGACTCGTGAGGTCGCTTTAAGATCGCTTCTATTTTGAGTTATCATTTTAGTGTGTTTACGGAATAACGAGGCCTGTCTAAGTGTTGAGTGATTAAATTAACTTACCTTTGTTTGCAAGTAATTTACGTCAATTTGTATAGTGATTACATTTTAAAGCGCATTTGCAATATTTAATTTCCTTGAGTGGCCTGTTAATATCGTACGAAAGACTTTTAGTTTGTTGTGTGGAACGCGGAACTTTGTGACCCGAGAGAAGGTCGCGTTCGGTTTCTAGAAATAATTTGTTGCTAAGTGAAAACGAAAGTTGAAGTTTGATCGACCGTTCATTAGTTGTGCCGTATGTCACATGTTTGATTACGCTTAACGGGGATTTAGTTGAGTTTGAAGTCAATTAAATGTACAATAAAGTTGATAGATTGAAATAGTGTACAATAAAGTTGATAAACTGTAAATAGTTAAATAGTGAAATGCAGGCAGAAGTTTTCCATTTGTGAACTACGACTGGAGGGAGTGCACATTGGGAGAACATCAGCTCCTGTGGATCTTCTGTCCGATTAAATCGGGCCGTCAGGTCACACATATACACACTTTCTAACACAAACTTACAAGCACATACTTAACGCCTGACCGCGCCTTGGGGTCAGACCTCGATTCGGAACCCGGTAAGTTCGTATTAATTACCTAGCCTTATCTCATTGTGTAGAATAATTGTCCATAGGCCATTTGGGCCCCGTCCTCTGTTGCCCGTCGATTGGTTTACTCATGGGCCCTAGTCCAGTCAACCTTTTTCGGGGCAACTCAGGGCGTGAACAATGATAATATTATAACCACGGCATGACTGTGAACTGCTTCCTATTTCCTCGCTATATTACAGCTACCAATAAATCGATTACGAACGTATTACCTGTTTTCCTATATGCTCCCTCAAGATATTATCTACCATTCATTCTTTAGTTACAGCCTATCAAAAGTGTACTGCTGAACATAGGTCTTTTATACAGATTGCCTCATAGGGGGAATATTTGCCATAGTTCCCTTTCTCAGCAAGTGAAGGTTCAATCACAATTTTTTATTATTTTGAGTTGTTATCAGGAAGATACTGCTGCCTCTCTCCTGTTTCATTTCCCTCTGTCGCCTTTTGCAACACTCACAGGATGGTATGGGTCTTACAGCTTTTCAGTAATAGTATATATTCTTTGGTAGGAGGTTGTGGATTCTCTTAAGCCGCTACTACACGGCATTATTAAGATTCTGCCTTCATTTCATAATTTCGAAATATTTTCATCTAAGTAGATATAGCATTTTCCGTGGTTTCATTTTCCGCTAAGCAAATTAGTATATAAAAAATTAGGATTATAAGTGGGATCCAACCAGATTAAAAGGTAAAAGTCCAGTCCAATCAAAGTATATGCGCATAATAAAACTAGTTGCAACCGCATTACTCACTAGACTAAATTTAGTTGCGTGACTGAATCGATGTCCTATAAAAATGCGGAATTGTTCAGTTTTTTTGCTGAAATAAGTCGTGAAATTTACAAGACAATGGTGTTACATTTCATATGTAGGTAATAATACGAGTATGTTGATGCGTCACTTTGCGTATAGTTTTTTAAAATATTTACACGGTTACTTGAGTCAGCAAACAGTTGGCGATAGTATCCGTAGTGGTTATATTCTCTTTGATAGTATCTTAAGACGTCTAAGCAGATACACACTTTATCTTTAGATTCATCACCATTTGATTAGAGACATCACCATCGAAGCACTTATTTCACCACTTCCACTTATTGTTCATATGCACAGACATTTAATATACAAAATCGCACCACTTTTACACATCAAAATCGCCTAAACTCCCGCTTTTAAAATCATTTGTCTCACAGAGTACATTAAAAATACGAATTTTGTCTCCTCGTTAAAAATAAAATAGGTACATATCGTCATAAATTAATTTATTGTGAACAGAAGCAATATTTTCTAAAATTAGTTGTTAACTTCATGGCAATATCAGTTAAATTACTTATTGTGTTAATAATTAGTCCTGTTTTTTGCAAATAGTTGTATGTGGTTACATACTCTTTGATAAAAGGCATCGTGAAATCATGTTGTAGCTCTAGACATTTGACAGAATTAAATAGTAAAATAAATAACATAAAAAATTGCATGTTCAGATGACAGAGTTGCTGATACGTTTTTTACATTGAAACCGTCTGTGATTGATAATAATTATAACATAAAATTGTCATGAAATCGTTTTGTGAGAGATGAGCGTATTCGGGGATTTTCAACGTGTTTGGGTGCAACGTTTTCCTGATAGTGCTTTGCCAGCCGCTTGGGAGGAGGATGTCCGAGCTAATTTGGCTAAACATAAACAGAAGGTTGCTATATTGAGAGAAGAATTGGAGAAGGAAGAATTTTACGTAGAGTATTTGGAGACATTATTGTCAGATGTGGAGAAACACAAAGCAGCTGCTGAAGGTAACAAAGCGGCGCCGCCCTCTGGTAATGACACAAATGACGATAAGACGTCTGATAGCAAACAGGTACCAAAATAATTATCAAATCAGTCGATAATTACATATCCTTCATAATGCAAAATTGATATATAACAGGCCTGTTTATTACTTGTTTGTAACTTGATTTAAATCGTGTTTTTTTTTTCAAATTAATTTAAAATTCTTTATAATGTGTCCCTATAATTACAAATTATAATCGTGATGCCTTATTTTGACATTTTATAATATATAGATTAACATTTCAATATACTACTGCATTATAAAAGATTGGTGTGATGTGATTCATCATTATTAGTGTCAAAGTTACGTGAACAAAAATGTTTAGGAAAATATTGAAATTTGAAATATATTCATGTTTCAATATTAAATGAATTGAATACACATTAGTGTCATAAGCTGTTTTATTATTCCTAATAAATTTATGAATATTCATTATTAACTGATTCTGATGAATATTTATTAATGAAATGCTAGCTGTAAGTAGCAATTGTAATTATTAGTATGCATCATTAAACTTTCTTTTTATTGTATTTGGTTCTAGCTCTGTAGTTCAGAGAAGTTTATAATTTAAAATTATCAGAATCCAGATGTAGAGCTATAATCTACCGAATTATCATCATCATCATCATTGTTTCACTTTATCAAAAGTTCACTGCTGAAGATAGGCCTCTTTAGTTTGGTGATCAATAGAATTAACCCACCTACACACTACAAAATATATTTTTACTTCATTTCAGAAGTTTTTACTTTTACTGTGTAGGCAATAATGAGTCGTCAGAGAAGATAATATATAAGACGATCCATCCATCAAATGCAAATATCTGAAAATTTGTTCATTATCATCTAAAAGTCTTTATATAATATTCTCCATACAACTACATTAAATTAATATTCTGAATCCAGTATCTTCTTTTGTTTCGAATTTTATTTTCTTCTTCCTCTGATAATAAGCAGGCTATTACAACAATATTTTTCCATAGTAATCTGAGTGATTCCGAGCAATCAATATCAGTGTATCATGTTGTTAGAAAAAAACTGCAAAAGTTGTTGACAATACTAAAGATTTGCGTATGGTGTGTACAGCGCATACGTACGTGCCATTGTGTGAGTCATCAGTAAATGTGGCGCTTATGGAGTGTGTGGCGCGTACAGTGCTGATAAATGTGCATCCACCTTAAGATAAAAATTAAAAGGTGGATGAATATATTTTCCTTATAAATGAAAAGCTAGGTATTCATTGTGAAAGAATTGTTTATAAACACTGCTGTAGATACAAAATGTATGTGTTTCCTAAACATCTGAAACTGTTGCAGAAAGTAAGTACTAGTTTAGTGTTTCCAGAACAGTTTCCATGCTCCCTCTCAAAATATTCACTAGTTTTTTTTTTAAATATAGGATAATGGGTAACTAGCGAGCACACAGTCCACCTGATGGTTAGTGGTTCCTGTGGCCCATAGACATCTACAACAATCCTCATTTGCAAATCAAAATGCAGATGCGTTGTCAGCCGTGAGGAACAAGATGGAATGCCTCTTTTCCAGTAAAATGGGTCTCCGGTTATCTACACTCACCATACGAAACACAGCAGTGTTAAGGCGCATGGTTGAGCAAAATGTTGCGCTAGTCGTTATTTGTGTGGTTTTTAGGAGCTATCTACTTTTTATTAAAAAGATATATCAACTAATAAAAAACACATTATATTTCTACATAATCTTGATTCCATAAGAGTCATATCCAATTTTTTTTAAAGGAATAAATATTAAAATAATCCCTTTACAATGAAACCACATAAATGTGAAATAATTATTGATAACATGCATCTCCTCGTAAAATAAGCATTATTAACTTCCTTCTGCGTAACATTGAAAGGAAGTTAATGGTTTTAGCTGGCAGTCTGTTAGTCTGTATGCGAACACGATAACTTCTGTTCCACTGGACCGATTGACTTTAAATTTGGTATGTGGGATACCTTGAGGTAGTAGCTCGGTCGAGTTTGAATTTGAGTCCTGTAGGTCAAAGGGCACCAGAGATAGTGGATTCACGCAGAAGGAAGTTGTTTTTCTTGAATTTACATTAAACTCGTTTTATTTTGCGATTGACACTAATGGATGGGCAATTTATTAATGAACATTTCTATCATAATTTTTTTTTGAAAAGACCAAAATTTGATTTTATTAAGAAATTATTTTAAAAACTGGGCGTATTCACTGCCCACAGGGTTGCTGGAGTCAGTGAGCGCTATGCTCTTGAAGGTGAAACCCGTGTCGTTAGTCACGGCGTCGGCCAGCGCACATGCTCGCTCATGTCTTGTTATCAGTCGATAATATTATTACTTATTAGGTTATTTATAGGTAGTATTATTTGTTTGTTTTGGGTATAATTTTTCGCATTAGTTATACATATATCTGTTGTGTTTTTTACTGCCCGATGAAGCTTTTTGCGTGTATTTTCTTTGAAGTAAATGCAAATTAAAAAAATGAAGCACCAAAATGAAGCAGCATGTAAGGTTCGAATCCATAATTAACATTTCGACAAATAGGTATTATAATTTACACTATAAAAAGCTAATTTAATATTAGCAGTATAGTATACAGTTAAAAATAATCAATACCTTACCACAATATCTTAGTGGGTATAGTAATTCGGTAAAAAGTATCTGAGTAGGTATTAATATACCTACCCAGTATAACTAATCACAATAGGTACCTATGTAGGTATTATGATTATTAGCCTATTAACGCTGGTGTTCCACAAGGCTGTGTGCTATCACCAACGCTGTTTCTTCTGCATATCAATGATATGTTGCTAACTGGTAACATTCATTGCTATGCGGATGACAGCACTGGTGATGCTCTATACACCGGCCGGGCCAATATTTCTCGGGAAAACGTCGCCGAGTACCGGAACAAACTTGTGTCTGAAGTCGAGTCTTTGCTGGACAAAGTCTCGGATTGGGGGCGACTAAATCTAGTCCAGTTTAATCCTCAGAAGACACAAGTTTGCGCGTTTACCGCTAAAAAGAACCCCTTTGTCGTATCTCCTCAGTTTCAAGGCACTCCCCTTCTTGCCTCAGCCAGTATCGGTATCCTCGGAGTCGACATATCGAGTGACGTGCAGTTTCGTGGTCACTTGGAAGAGAAGGCCAAATTGGCCTCTAAAAAGCTTGGCGTGCTCAGCAGAGCGGGACAGTATTTCATGCCGGCACACCGCCTGCAACTTTACAAGGCGCAGGTTCGGCCTCACATGGAATACTGTTCCCATCTCTGGGCAGGGGCTCCCCAGTGCCAGCTCCTTCCACTTGACCGCATCCAGCGCAGAGCGGCTCGAATCGTCGACGACCGAGCCCTTTCCGATCGGCTCGATTCATTGGCACTGCGAAGAGATGTTGCATCTCTTTGCATTTTCTTTCGCATCTACCATGGGGAGTGCTCTGAGGAATTGTTCGGATTAATCCCAGCCGCCAAATTTCACGAACGCACATCGCGGCAGAACTCCCGATACCATCCACACCATCTGGATGATTGGCGGTCCACCACTGTGCGATTTAGAAGATGTTTTCTTCCTCGCACAACTTCCTTGTGGAATAGTTTACCACCAGGGATTTTTCCGGACCGATACGACTTAGGGACCTTCAAGAAAAGAGCCTACTCCTTTTTAAAAGGCCGGCAACGCATCTGCAATTCCCCTGGTGTTGCGGTTGTTCATGGGCGGCGGTAGTCACTTACCATCAGGTGAGCCGCATGCTCGTTTGCCCCCTCTCCTATAAAAAAAAAAAAAAAGATAAAAGGTACTTATCTAAATAGTTACCTACTTTTACTAAGTACTAATACCTACCCGGGCATCATTTAATTACAACCCAAAAACCCCTATAACTAAACTGACCATATATTTTTTAACTCAAAACGGGACATGGATTTATTTATACTCTAAAAACTATAATTTTTTACAATCAGTGTTCACTATAAAATTATATTCAGTATAAACGGTAATTATTAAATGCAACATATTTGTCTTAATTATTAATTACATTTGTCAGTGGAAAAAAGCTTTAATAAATTTGGTGATAATTTTAAATAAGAATAAAATTCTGAGCAAGTTTTTTTTTATTGTTACCTTTGTTAACAACATCGCCTTTAGAACTGTATCCGTAAGTGTTTTTTTTTTCAGACGTCCACAATTTATTCAAAATAGAAAAATCCTCTTTCTATTTGGAGCATTTGTACCGGGTAGACATAAAATATCGATTAAAAAAAATTATGTTGAATATTGTTGGTGCGAAAGACTGAATACTTCCATCCAACGAGTTTTTGGGGAAACTTAAATTATCCCATTTGGTTATTTTTGGTCGGTCCCGCTCTCGCACTGACGTGACGTCTGACAAACTTCATAGATATAAATTTTCGCGCGGTTTCGGAAAACGGGACAATTTTGTGTCCCGGAGCTTTTGTTTGGGGACAATGGGACAGGTGACCATAAAAAGGGACAGCCCCGTTCAAAACGGGACGTATGGTCACTTTACCTATAACCCATATACTTCTTGTTGATTATTGTATTACCTTTATTATAACCCTTATGTATAAATAAATATAATTACGTATGTAGAAATAAAATTGAATAAAAATAAAAACAGACATGTTTTTTTTCATCCTCATCAATCATTGGGGTGAGGATAATGTCAGTCAGCATAAGTAAAAAGCAGGCTAAGTTACAAGGTGCTCAGTTCAAAAATTAGTAAGTAGATGTTACTTTTCAATACGTGACACGTAAAAATTAACAATAATCAAAAACACATCTGCGAAACATCCTATTTATTTATTTATTCTTTATTGCACCAAATGTTTGTACAAAAGGCGAGCTATCTATCTATTTATCTATAGTGATTAGGTATCTTTTAAACTCACTATTTTCAACGCTTCATTATTAATATACAATTAATTATAAAATTTCATAATTAGATAATATATGAGAATACATAATTCTAATATAATGCCACTAATATACCGAATAAAAAAATTAAAATACATTTATCGTTATATGTAGTGTGTATTTCCATAAAATAGTTTATTGATGTTGAAAAAATAATACTACGTTCGTACAGTATGTGGCGTCTTGCATATTTCTTACGCGATATATTGTAGCGAGAGTCGGCGGACCGAATACTCAAGGTCGTTCGCTAGGAGTAGCCCCTTAAGCTTCTATTTTACGATGCTATTCTGTGAGAGCGTGGTCCTTCCCCGGTCGAGCCAACCAATTTGTGTTTAGCTGCAGCATAGCTCTACCACGTAAAGTATCCTATGTTTTATTTATTTATGATTAATATAGAGATAATGACTGTGAACAGGTTGTAGATAATATGTTTATCTATACATCTATATCTATACAAATAAATAAAATTGAAGTGTCTGTTTGTTATGTCAAAATAACAGCTTTTTACTAATTGCATATGAAAGCGTATACGGTACTTGTAACAAAAACACAATTTTGAAAATTTTTGTCTGTCTGTCTGTTTGTTCCGGCTAATCTCCGAAACGGCTGAACCTATTTTGACGGGATTTTCACTGGGTTCATGTTATAAGGAGTAACTTAAGCTACTTATATTTTAGAAAAATAATTAGGGTTCCGCGCAACACAATTAAAATCCTATATTACACGCGGGCGAAGTCGCGGGGAACAGATAGTGACATAATATAATAAACTATTAATCATCAACCTACCTACTACAATTAAATTGGCTTTCAAAGTCTTCGATTTCTTTGAAACATACATTTAAAGTAAGTCCACTTTGTAATTGGAGTTTTCTTTGCAAAAATGAAATTAGAAAAAACAACTTTCTTACTTTGAAAGTTCAATGGTAAGTCAAACGTTTCTGTAATATTTTTAGGCAATGATTTATCTATCCTCGATTCCGAATCAAAATGCAGATGCGTTGTCACCCTTCATGTCATGCGAGGACTAAGATGGAATGCCTCGTTTCCGGTAAAAAAAGCGTCCCTGGTTCTCTACACTCACCATAGTAAACACAGCAGCGCTAAGCTGCTATTTTATGCTGGTATTCTGTGAGAGCGGACTAGCCGACCCGTTCGTGCTACAACTATACTATATATAGCGGCAGCATGGCTCTACCAGATAAATGTTTGCAATAACTTCCCTTTCCTTCAAAAAGTAAATTAACCATAATTTTTGGAATTCTCCCGTAACAATACCTCTGTTGGAAAATCCTTAAACAAAATAAACTATCCTGCCGACTACCTCTTAGTTTCGGGTTCGTAGCGATCCATCACCTGTCGCAAAATCAATAACAATATTCAAGTTTACCGTTACTGTACTTTTATAAAAAATTTAGGATTTTGCGGCCAGTCCATATGACGACGTTTATAAAGTTCTGTTAAATTATGACAATATTATTCTATAGCACAAAATACCCTAACACTTCAATGTCTCTGAAAAATGTTTGTAAGACATTATAATTAACTCATACCAATGCCTTTTTACATGCGGGCAGATGCCTACCCATACCCGCCTCGGGTGGGCAAGAATGGACTCCAAAAAAAGGCCAAACCATGGCGGCCCGTCCTCGGGAGAGGACTACTCCTCCCCTTTTTTTTACATCGGGAAATACTTACGCATGCTTGCCTCGCGGGGGCAATGACGCGTTATGTTGGACTCGCACCGACTAAAATTCCATGGTGTTTACCTTCACCGCATATTGACAGGGCTACGGAAACGCTTTCGCACACATTCGCGGCCCCAAGAGCGCAAGCCGATCCATAACGCCCCTTTTCGAGAGAGGACTACTACTCCCCCATCTCCTCAGGTAAGGCGCACCAGAACACATGGCTCGCCTTCCTCCGCGGCCACCAACTATATCTGCGCAATAGACGCCCCCATGTACGAAGCGTGAAGGCCATGGGGCCAGGAAAATCGAGCACTCAGTAGCACTAGCCTTCCTGATCCCAGCGGCGGATCTGTTTTATGGCTCTGCCGCCAACCAAGATTCGGCTGCGGAGGGTAAGAAGAGCGGCGCCTCGCATTACCGACACTCCTCTCCCCCCACAGCCCCACCATCACCGCATCAACGGTGCGGTTCCATCAAAGTCGCGGAGGATAGGGCGATTTGCGAAACACTCTTCTTCTCCCACAACTTCACTTCTAGGACATCCCTCCCGCCGCAGTCCACTAACACACATCGGAAAAGCCTACTCGGAGTGGCCACTTGGAGCCAACCATGTGGGTTCCTCTTTCTTCACCGTTTGTGACCAAGCCACGGCTACGAAGCCCCCTGCCACGATAAGGCGGGAACCCCTACGAGGGAGGAGGGGGGTTATACCAACTCTTTAAACCAATCTAAATCTGTTAGTGATTTACTTTCTTAACAGTTTCTATCATGCACTTCACAGTATGGAAATTATCTTTAATTGTTGTCTTTCATCACTCACCTTAGATTTACCGACGATATAGTCTTTATAGCAGAATCGCTGGGGGACCTAAGCAGTATGCTCAATGACCTCAATAGTGCCTCCCAATGGATAGGTTTTAAGATAAACATGGACAAAACAAAGATCATGTGTAACGCCCATGTCACACCTTCGCCGGAAGTAGATGGGAGCACTAAACTTGTTGATGAGTATATTTACCTGGGACAAATAGTCCGACTAGGTAAGTCCAACTTAGACTGAGAGGTCAATCGACCTATTCAACTCGGCTGGGCAGCTTTCGGGAAATTACGACACATCTTCTCGTCAGGTATCCCTCATAACTTGAAAACGAGACTGTACAACCAGTGCGTGTTGCCAGTGATGACTTATGGATTTGAAACATAGTCCTTCACTGCTAGCCGTTCGAGGAAGCTGAAGATCGCTCAGCGAGCTATGGAGAGGGCTATGCTCGGAGTTTCTCTGCATGATAAACTTAGAAATGAGGATATCCGCAGTAGAACTAGAGTAACCGACATAGCCTAACGGATTAGTAAGCTGAAGTGGCAATGGGCCGGCCATATAGCACGAAGAACCGACAACCGATGGGGGAAAAAGGTTCTCGAGTGGCAGTCTCGTATCGGTAGGCGAAGTGCAGGGCGGCCCCCCACTAAATGAAAGTGACGACCTGGTAAGACATGCGGGAAGTCCATAGATCAGGACCGTGCTTTGTGGCATTCCTTGGGGGGGAGTCCTGTATTCAGCAGTGGACTTGTGAAGGGATGTAATGATGATGATGATGTCTTTAAAGGACATTCTTAAAGCAGATTATTCACATCGTCACATCATGAGTATGATCACACAAACCAAGCATAAAGGTTTATTATGAAATGCCAATCAAATGCTTATTGTACATACATAAACAAGAAATTACGTAAATAAACATAGAAGGAATACTAAAATCCAAATGTACTTAAGCTAATCTAGTATTTACACACTATTTGGTTCACACTATTCTTTAAATTATTGGCAATTTTAAAACAAACATACAAACAAATTAATTTTACCTTGAGTAAAAAGTTTTCAGCGTTTCGAAAACAGACAGTGTCACACTGACTGGTATATGATTTACTGTTACCTATAAATACTTTAAAATATCATTGTTTTTAACAATCGTTGTTTTCAGGAATCAAATACAGATTCATTGTCAAAAAAGAGTGAAATTAGTTTAGCAAGTAGTAATAATGAAGAATTAACAAATGAGCCTCTTGAGATTGAAGAAGTGCATCTTAGACCTAAGCCTGTACATATAGGTGAAAGAAGTTCTGTGAATCAATGCATAAATGAGCTTTCTTCTAATCTAGCTGTTGAAGCTCGAAGAAGGTGTAATAGTGAAGTAGTACAGAGAACTGAACCTGATAGAGATAGTGATGGTAAAATCATTTCTGATATTGTTGGTAAATTATAATTAATATAACACCATTAAAATAATGTTTAAATTTAATCTATTTTACAGTAGCAGGAGAACAAAAAAGTCAAACTGTAACTAAAAACCGTCCAACATCTCAAGCTGGAGATTTCGTCACAGTAATTGAAGTAAATGGATTAAAAGCTGCAGAAAATGCACCTAAGAAGGCTGACGAGTCCCCTCAGTCACCTGAGAGTACTACTGCAGATTCAGCAATTGCTACGAAAAAGAAAGTACCGCCTAAGTGAGTGTTTTGTATATTTTTAAACATATTCTAATTGGATTTATAAATCACTCCGCTGATTGACGAAAGTTTTGCTGTATACCAATGAGTGTAGAAAGCCATTCAGATTGTACTGAGCATAAGTTCTGTAGTTTGGTGATTACTTATAACGTAGCAACATTATCCGTGTGACGGTATCAGTTCTGCTTGCTCATTAACCAGCTTGCTCAGAAATGTGAGTATGGGCAATTTTTTTAAATTGTGCATCATTTTTTTGGAAAGGTCATCAAATCCATAAGGTTTATAAAAGAACTCACAGAATATCTCTTTGTTTATTATAATATATATATGTAGATATATTGCTATTATGTATTACGGATATTGATATAATTATCTGGGCATACTTACGTACACTGGCAAAACAATCTGTACTCAAAAATAAAAATAAATATGATTTTCAATATTATTTAAAATACAGTCCGTGCGGACAAAGAATGTGATTAGAAATGGCGGCTCATCGAGCCCGTACCGTCAACATGCACAGTATTATTCGTTTAGTTGGAAATTTTCTATTAATGGGAAAATATTTGAATAGAATTGTATACGCAAATAGATACATTGATCTTAAAATAAAATTTATAACTTGCGACCCGTCCTGGCTTCGCCCGAGTGGGATCTATTCGAAAATATGTAATAATGTGTTGAAAAACTATTGGTAAATCCAATTGTGCATGAAACATCCAAATATGCCCTAAGCGCATTAAAAAATACGTATAACATGATTATATGGAAAATTTTTAAAGTAGTTTAAATACACAGAAGTTTTCACTAATAACCTTATTATACTTCCAATTTTCCAATAATTTTATATTAAACTTCAATTTAAAAAAAAGGTTGGAAAATCCAAAAGTGCACGACTCATAATGCTCATATGATCATCATACAGGGCCGGATTAACCATGTCGGGGCCCTTAGGCAATGCAAGTCTCGGGGGAATTTCCAGCTTACGTGAAAGGATGTGTGTAATAGCATCAGCAGCATCACCAGACTGATACTTAACTCCTCAGAAATTTACAGTACGAGGGCGGCATTGAAAATTTCGGGAATCAAGGAAGTGACACAAAATTACTATTTAAAAATGTATTTATTGCTTTTCGAAGTATTCTCCGCGAAATTTGACACATTTTTCCATACGATGGAACCAATCATTGAAGCAACCATTCCATTCGGAAGTTGGGGTCTCCAAAATGGCCGTTTTGTAGGCGTCCACAGCTTCTTCGGGTGATGAAAATCTGTCCACGCAATTTATTCTTTATTTTAGGAAAAGTATAGAAATCATTAGGGCTTAGGTGTTGTACGGGGCTGTACGGCGGATGGTCTAATAATTCTATGTTTTCTTGCTCTAAAAACTCTTTTGTTTTGTGTGCGGTGTGAGAACTCGCATTGTCGTGATGGAGGATGATGCGGCGGTTGCAGTTCTCTTTACAGAGTTCAGAAACGACCTGTGCGGTGCTGCAGTCCCTTCACCGGTGCCAAGTTGACTGTCGGTATATCGAAGTGCTGAAGTGCTTGTACAGTAGGGCTACGATGGCTATCCGAGTACAGAACCAGAGTACGAAACCTATCCAATTGTCAATATCCCCGAAACTCTTCACCGCTGCATTGGAAGACGTTTTCAAGCTTCTGGACTGGAAAGGATACGGTATTAACATCAATGGCGAGTACATCACTCACCTTCGATTTGCCGACGATATAGTCCTTATGGCAGAATCGCTGGAGGATCTAAGCACCATGCTCAATGACCTCAATAGTGTCTCCCAACGGATAGGTCTTAAGATGAACATGGACAAAACAAAGATCATGTTTAATGTCCATGTCACACCTATGCCGGTAGTTGTTGGGAGCACTAAGCTCGAAGTTGTTAACGAATATGTTTACCTGGGACAAATAGTCCGACTAGGTAAGTCCAACTTTGACCGAGAGGTCAATCGACGGATTCATCTCGGCTGGGCAGCGTTCGGGACACTATGACACATCTTCTCGTCAGACATTCCTCAAAACCTTAAAACGAAATTGTACAACCAGTGCGTGTTGCCAGTGATGACTTACGGATCTCAGACCTTCCTTGAGAGGGTCCTTCACTGCTGGCCGTATGAGGAAGCTCAAGGTCGCTCAGCGAGCTATGGAGAGGACTATGCTCGGACTTTCTCTGCGTGATAAACTTAGAAATGAGGATATCCGCAGTAGAACCAGAGTGACCGACATAGCCCAACGGATTAGTAAGCTGAAGTGGCAGTGGGCCGGCCATATAGCTCGAAGAACCGAAAACCGATGGGGAAGAAAGGTTCTTGAGTGGCAGCCTCGTACCGGTAGGCGAAGTGTAGGGCGACCCCCCACGAGATGGAGTGCCGACCTGGTAAGACATGCAGGAAGTCGATGGATGCAGGTGGCTCAGGACCGTGCTTTGTGGCATTCCTTGGGGGAGGCCTATGTTTAGCAGTGGACTTATGAAAGGCTGTAATGATGATGATGATGTCGAACACAGCATTTGAGTCACCTCCGTTAAATCTTTGAACCATTTCACGACATAAATTAACATGACGGAGTTTTTGGGCCTCTGGCAAATTATGAGGTATCCACCGGGCGCAAAGCTTCCTGATCGCTAAATGTTCATGGAGGATTTTGTGCACTTAACTCATACCGATGCCTAAGTTTGCCGAATCTGCTGATAAGTCACTCTTTGGTCAGTCTTTATCATAACGCCGCACAACACTGATATTATCTTCAGTCGTCGCCGTAGAAGGCCGTCTCTCACGCAGATCACCGGTGAGATTAGTGCGATCACGTTTAAACTCATTAAACCAGTTGTAAGCAGTGGCACGATATGGGTCTTCATCTTGAAAGGCCAATCGAAGTCTATCATAACTTTCTTGTTGACTTAAATGACATCGAAAGTCATAAAAAATCACTGTACAAAAATTTTCACGCGTTAAATTCATGCTGACGTGACACAGACAATTTTCAATTTGCCGCCAAATCGTATACAAATGACAAATTAATAAAATACATACATAATAATATTGGCAAAATGTTCCATTTCCTAATTTGAACTTATTTTTTTATTATATCGTTTACAAGTGGAGGGAATCCCAATATCCATTTGTCAGTCCTTTTATACTGGTAAACAAGAAGTTGGGCGAAAAGAGGCTTTGTGTAGATTACAGGGCTTTGAATAGGAAAACCAAGCGCTAACACTACCCTCTTCCTAGGATTTAGGACCAGCTTGATCTTTTGTCTGCGGTCTACTGTTTACATCATTAGATTTAGCCTTGGGCTATTATCAGATTCCCATTTCAGAAGAATAGCGCGAGAAAACTGCATTCGTAACACCTGATGTTCAATACGAGTATAATTGTAACCCTTTGGACTCGTTAATGCACTATCAGTGTTTCAACGAACAATGAACAAAATAATTAAAAAGTCCCCCGTATATTCGTATGTATTAGTGAATATGGACGATATACTTATTCCAGCAAAATCATTTGACGAGGGCATTAGTTGTTTACGATAGGTGTTTGATCTGTTAAAGGCAAGTGGCTTGACCCTAAAACTATGCAAGTGCGAATTCTTTTACGAAATAAATTACTATCTGGGGTATGAGAGACTAATGCACTCATCAAATTTCCATCACCCTAGAACGTTCATGAGGTCAGAAGATTTTTAGGCCTAGCTAGTTTTTTCATGAGGTTTGTAAAGGGGTTTGTCTTAATGGCGAGACCTCTTCCATCGCTGTTGAAAAAGGATTCTAAATGGAGATGGGATAAAAATGAAATTGAGGCATTTGAGAGGTTGAAAAGGGCTCTAACTGAGCGGCCTGTCTTAGCCATTTATAACTATTCTGCGGAAACTCAGCTCCATACCGATGCAAGAAAATTTGGCGTAGCGGTTCAAAAAGAAAGCGGATTGCAACAAACTACCGGTGATGAACAAAAGCTCCATTCGTTTGAACTTGAGACTGTTTTGTTTGGCAGATTAATGACGTCGCTGGCAAAATTCAGGTTTTTTCTCTTAGGAATCCGTTTTAAAATTATAACAGATTGTAATGCTTTACGTAGTACTCTAGTCAAATGCGATCTTATTCCACGGATTGCTCGTTGGTGGGTACAATTCTTGGAATTTGATTGCGAAATAGAATACCGGCCAGGTGTGAAAAAGGGCTCACGAGGATGCTTTAAATCGAGGTCCAGTCGATAATGTTTTGGACGACTCTCATGTTCTAGATGTCCTTAATGTTAATGTTGAAGACCGGATTGTTACACCACAGCGATCAGACGAGGACATAAAAAGGTTAAGTGATATTTTATATGATCCTAAGACGAAAGAGATTGTCAATGTATTTAACAACTATAAACTTAAAAATGGCGGGATATAATCGTATTTTAAGTGACAATCTTGAGCGTTGGGTGGTTCCAAAGGGGGCTAGATGGCAAATACTAAAGTGTAACCATGATGATATTGGACTCTTCGGCTTTGACAAAACACTGGCTCGAATTCAATCATCCTATGGGTTTCCAAAAATGCGATGATTCGTAAAGAAATACATATCCGCATGCCTTGAATGTGATCATCACAAAATACCTAGTGGTGCTAAAGTAGGTAAATTATATCCCATCCCAAAGGATGACAAGCCCTTCCACGCCATTCACGCGGACCACTTAGGGCCGTTTATAAGAAGTAAGCGTACTATATACTTACAACCTTGTAATAATTGACGCTTTTACGAAATTCATCAACCTCACCGACGTACGCAATACGAAGTTGACCACAAGTATAAAGGTCTTCAGAGGATAACTTGTCACGTTATACGAGTATAGTATTGAAATATAAATGCAAACAAAATACGTTTTGTAAAATGGAGTATATGGATAATTAGATATTACTTAGATAGTAAACAACAAAAGCATTGTTTGATTTGAAACTGTTAGTTTGTGTTTACGTTGTTTGTGTATTTAACTGTATGGTTTTAAAACAGATTAAGGATTTGTAAGTTGTGGTCAGTGTAATGGATCACTCTTCACTTAAATCGATCAAGGTAATGGATCGATATGTCACAAAGTTAATAGTTGTTGCTTTTCTTGGACTTGGATAGTCTGAACTAAATTAAGGTCACTGGTTAGTTCTAGACTCGAGGACTGGCATCAAGGGTTTTTATGCTCAAAGTCCTGGACCACGAAAACACTGTTAAGGCACAGGTAAAAGGACTGGTCAAGGTCACCGACCAGCTTCGGAGCTAACGTTTGCTGTCAGGGACTTGTGGTCACTGTAAAGGACCACTAAGTCACTTGGTCATACTTATCCATGGCTTAGCACTGGTATCCCAGTTCAAGGTCACTGAACATTTTTAAGCTGATTCAGGTCACAGTTCAGCTTGAAGTAATTGTTAAAGGATATATTGATGTAAAAATGAAAGAGGGTTTGTAAAAACATTTAGAAACATTAGTATTGATATTAGTATGACTTGTGTAATGTTTTTATACCTATCATTTATAGTATTGTAACTGTGTGACATTATACAAACATGCTGTTATAGATTAAGTAGTATAAACAGAAAGATTCGTTTCTTTATGCTAAATACTTTTAATTCTCAATATTCTTTTGGATCAAACGAGAGGACTCGTTAAGTGGACGGATGGCCGAGCTGTAAGCGTTTCATAATATATTTTATTGGTTATGCTTATATTTCCTGTTAAATCGTCCTTATTCGAGCATTCACATGACTTTCGGTATTATTGAATACAAGTTGCGCGGATTATAAAAGGCAAACAGAGGGGCATTCGTTGGTTAGACGTTAAGCCAATCACTTGTGATTTACCAATATACGAGGTACTTTACCAAGAAATTCCGTCACATCACGTCGCGCCCTTACTACTACGTTAGTAAGAAAGAGGATTTAGTGTTTAATTTATTTTTTATTTTTTTATAGGATAAGGGTGACAAACGAGCACACAGTCCACCTGATGTTAAGTGGCTGCTGTGGCCCATAGACATCTACATCTACCTTGTATTACGAATCAAAATGCAGATACGTTGTCACCCGTGAGGACTAAGATGGAATGCCTCGTTTCCAGTAAAAAGGGTCTCCGGTTCTCTACAATCACCATACGAAACACAGCAGCGTTAAGCTGCTATTTTACGCTGGTATTCTGTGAGAGCGTGGTCCTTCCCCGGTCGAGCCGACCCATTTGTGCTACAACCATAATATAGCTGCAGCATGGCTCTACCACGTATAAATTTTAATTTACCTCAAGAAAGAGATTAAATTGGTCATTGTAACAAGAACGATTAATATATTGATGCCATGAACAAGTTGGACTGAAGTTATAAGATGTACGAAAAACGCATATCGACAGTAGATAGACAGATAGCAACAGCGTGCGAGCGAGAGGTGAATAAAGGCGACGCTATTTTCAATCCCATTCTTTATCTGCATGTGTAGTACAATAATACTTGATCGTATAGTACAGGTGCAGCATATATTATATTGCAAACTTGTGCAAAACGTTTGTATCTCATCCTTTGTCACATCAAAATCATTTTATATTGATGTAATGCATATTATGCTTATATTGAGTATAATCACCTATCACCTCGAGTGGGTGTTATATCATCTTCGTCGTTAAATTCTAAAGTTAATAGTCGACCAAGTTCTTCCTATCGGTTGTCGGTTCTTCGTACTACACGGTCGTCTCATTACCACTTTAGGTTACTGATATGTTGTACTGTTTCAGTGTTTTTTCTTGTTTAATATGTTCGTTGTTATCAGACCTCCACCGAAAGTATTCAGCAAACGTGGTGCGTCGTTACCAGAGACGGGTTTAGAAGACAGTCCCCCGTCATCACTCGGGCGAAGACTACGCAATGCTGAATCCCGAGAGTCCATCGCCAGCCGAGCATCTACTCCCTCGATCAGCGAAAGAGTAAGGCTTTCGGACATTGAAAACTTAATAAACATTTAGTCATATTTAAAACTGTTCTCACTACATCAGAAAAATAATACAGAAAGTAGTATAGAGTCAACTTGCTGTGCATAAAATGTTCATACAAATTTGTATATGTATATATATATATTATTCTATTCTATTATTTTACTATCATATTATTTCTTTCTCTAAAGAAAAATATAGTCGTATGTTAGTTACATTTGCCTAAGAAATACAAGATTTTATATAAACCAGAAGTGACAAACAAACTTATAGTCAGCCTTGACGATAAGTCTATTAACACCTGCAGCCAATTTCAAACAAAGAGGGCTACAAATGCATTGTCACCTTTGAAAACTAAGATGGAGTGTATCACAGCCAGTTAATATATATAATATTCCATCCAATTGCCAAGTATTTTAGTGGCAATACACCACTGTAATAAATAGTAATACTGATTGGTTATTGCAGGTGAAAAGCTACGAATCAATAAACTCTTTATCTTCTGAACGCAAGAGATCAGGAGGTGCTGCTACACCTCGTTCAATAGATGAAGAAATAACATCTACAACACCTGATTTACCGGAAGGAAATGATGTCGACAAATCAGCACCAGTTTCGCTTGAGAGTATCCCAGCTGCTGTACCCACAGTTGAAGACGAGCCATATTATGATCAAGTACCTGTAGATATCAATGATGGAGAATACGTTTATATACAAGCGGGTATGTCACATTAAAATCTAGAATCAAATTTGAATAAATATACTATTTAAGAGGGTTCGGACTCGGAATACCCGGTAATGAAATTACTGAGATTTCTCAGTTCTTTTGTAGCAATAAAAGAACCGTGAATTGAAAATATAAAATTAGGATCAATAATTAAATTAATTATAAATTTAGCCTGGGAAGGTAGGGTTGGAAATCAATCAGGTCACAAATTATCGAAATCCGTGGATAGAAATCAAAATATGTATATCGGCGTCAAGATTTCAACTCGTTTCTCAGGAGGCAAAAACTTTAACAATCATCATCATGAATCAGTCATGGGTTCATCAACGTATATGGGTGGCTCGCTGCTAGCGAAAAATGCCTTGAAAAAATCAATTTAATTCGGCGATCACATACATAAACACTCTCGCCTGTCACCCAGAGGGGAAGGCAGAGACTACGGACTTCCATTTGGCACGGTCTTGACACACCTCTATCACCTTTACATCCATATATCTACGCATACTCGCTCGTCGGTTAAGAGTACTCCTAATCTGCCCCATTTTCAATATATCGCCAATTTGCTCGATAAACATTCGTCTAGGGCATCCCTTCCCGACTACGCGGTTCACTTCTGCAACATAACTGGAATATAATATCATCATCATCATCAGTCATCATCATCAGATGCAGTACGATGACCTAATTTGCCAAATTCGTCTTACCAACAATACTTCAGCTTTAAGAAAGGTGCTTTCCACCAGGCTGCCAAGTCCTTCAACAAAGCATTACGGAATGCTAGTTTCGAGCGCACCAAATACTCGTATATCGACGCAAAGCTCTCTGCTAAACAAACAGCCAGTAGAGCTTATTCATCTTTCGTCAAAACAGTCAAGGTAAAATTTTTTCGGTTTACACTGCTTCTGCTGGTAAAACTGGACTTTAGAATTGGAATAGTGCCCAAATCCTGAAAGATGTTCATTATTCCGCATAAGCCCAAAAGTGCAGCCATGCAGACCGTGCTATCGGATAATCTCAATTACCTCCATACTCTGCAAGATTATGGAATGTGTACATTAAACGCTTATTTCAAACCTAGAACAGAATGATGTTATTTCGCTTATCGATCGACACTATGATTCTGCTATGATCGGTAGGCAGGGGACCACCTTCTAGTGTATGCTACACACTATTAATTTAGTTATTAATCAAGAGAACAATGAAATGTTTTGGCAAGCTACTGAAACTTAAATTATTAATTTCTTTAAATAAGAATTTAAATGAATCACAGGAGATTAAATTATAAATGACGAGGACTGCTCGTTTTTTGCTAAATATAAATAGTATTAAAATCATATCCATGTGTCGACACAATAAAATACCATATGACATTATGCTGTAAAAGTAACTACAATAAACCAAGTTAACAGTGGTTACACAAATTTTTCTAACATGAGCAATGACTAAGTTTACTAATTAAGGCTGTTATTATGGTCCACTAGTGGATCCTCTAGAGATATATAATAAATACTGTTTCTTTCACAAAATCCAGTTTATCATTTTGCAAAGTAACAAATTGGGAATTAGGTTAACATTTGGCAACAAAAATTTATCACATTTAGTTATTAATACTTATTTCCGAATTTTTTGCGTGAAACTAGTCTAAAATCTTATTTTGGGCACCATTTACTTCACTAAAGGTCTCAGTCTTCCGGTTAACCTTAAACCTGAGTGGAGTATCATCTACATATTATATTACAATGTTGGCTAAATATTGAACAAAGAATAGCAGATCATTTATATATACAAGAAACAAACATGACCTATGAATAGATCCTTGTGGTACGCCCATTTTTATAACAGAACCTCAACGCCATTTATCTGAACCTTTTGAATCATAGTATGTATTGAGGTAAGAATCCGACAAACGAAGAACTTGTCTACTTATGACATAATATTTTATTTTATAAAGAAATGTGTGATTTACACAACTATATGATTTTTTTTAGTTAAATCTCTACCCATCGTAATCTTTGTTTTTTTCCGCAATAAAATGTGCCGTGACTCTTAAGATCTGATTAAACAATTTTTCGAGTTTTTCAAACCATGCCTTCGGTCACTACCGTATGGCGTCCTAAGTGATGGTCATGTTTGGTGGATGTAGAATACCGGCAAGCATTTATTTATAATTTATTCAGGAAATCTTGATTTTACTTTTTTATTTTATTGAGAACAACAAACAATTACATAATGAGGCTTACTCTAAATAGTTTTTTTGAAAACGATAGTAGCCTAAGTATGCGCATTGAAAGCCCAAAAAGTCTAGGGTCCTTAAACACGCATTTAAACTTACTTGGAGTGGTATAATTGTATAGTATAATATTATGGTATAATGTTATAATTAATAACTCAGCATAGTTCATTTGTTTTCGTCAGTTAATTGCAACAAATTGCAAATGACTTCTGTTATTTGAAAACAAAAAATAATCATCTTTTTTTAGATATGTTACAGTTATTTAATCTTTAGCGAGTACTCTATTCGTACTTTTTCGGAAGGTGTCTCTTACATAAATTCTACTATACATTTGGAAAAGTAACATTTTTGTCGCCCCCTCAATATCCTTTATTTACAATATGATATGTTGTACAGGAGGCACTGGATCAAGCGAGGACGCCTCTAGTGGTACCAGCACGCTGCCACTCAGTACAGGAGCAGCACCCATCGCCCCCACCGCTCCCCACGCGCCTGACTCACCCCCCTGCGCTATTGCACCCAATTATGTCAACATACACTACTTCATTCAGTGAGTATTAATTTCACTTTTCTGGCATATTACATGTGAAACTAGTCCAATGGTTAAAATAGTCATTAAAAAAACCCGACTGCGTAAAAAAATACTGAAAAGAGAAAGATTTTATACCCAATATCACTTTTACTACTAAGACGAATCCAACGGACCTCCATATTACTTTAAAATCCATAGACTACAGAGCCTGCCAAAGAAATAGACATACATTCGAATCACATAACACTACTCCTGGGGCAGTTGGGTTGAACGATCTCCCAATTATTTCTGACTACGGAAACTACGTGAGAACATTATGGAAAGTGTGAGCTGATGCTTACTATTTATGTCTGAGAAAAAAAATGGTATGTGTTAAGTCCGACAACATTATGTATATCAACGCGGCGGACAAATTACCTCCTCCTATTCTCTTAGAAATTATAATGAAACTTTAAAGGGACATACTTTTATGGAGTTGAAATTTTTTTTCAGTTGATCTGATCGTATCTCATCACGTCAAAAATAAAATAAATAATTGGTTAGTTTTTCATCATTCGTTCACTGTTGAACATATACCTCTCCTAAGGAATGCCACAAAGCACGGTGATAGATGATACACATGGTGATAATATGCACAGTGATGAATGAGATGGACTGCATACAAGGTTATTTTTCAAAGTAGCCAAATTTTCTACTTAAGTTCAAATATACATAAATAATGATATACCGATATCACAGTTTTTGAAAATACGAGTAAATAAGGCTTCTACTTTTATTTGAAATTATCTATTATATAGTGGTTAGATACGCTAAGCAGTGAATATAAGGTGATGTTTAAAGGCCATCTAGCAAAGAGTAGTGATTACAACGTATCCTTCCAATCTGTAAAGCCGGCAATACATGTTGGTCAAGCCACAGCCTACGCGAGCGTAGTCAAATTGATACAAGGCAAGTGCTACAGTCTACATGTTGGCCAAGCTTGAATGAGTTAGCATACTAATATAGCCAACTAACTCTACCTAGATGGTTGTTTACATGATTAATTCTTGAAAATTGAGAGTTAACAGAAAAGTCTGATAAATCTAGATTTTCAAAAATTTATCATGTATTTATGATTTATTGAACAAAATAAGATGTACTGAGGGACATGGAGCTGATGACTAGCATATGCTAAAGATTATACTTCCACGTAAATGCCCACATTTATGTTAATGCTCGAGCTAGAGACTCATAAAACTTTTGGTGTTCGTATTAAATGAATTAGTATTTGGTAGCGTGTATCATAGAAGGCAATGAGGAAGTTCCACTTTAACATTAATTACTGACATTGAATGAGCTTCCTTTTTTAAAAGAAAATATTAAATTAGGATTTAAACACAATATACCACATTCTTTTGTATATATTTGTAGTGTATATTTATTTAGTATGCATTATTTACAGTTGTATGACCGCAATTTTGTAAGTATTTTTTATGGCTTGCACAAATAGGTGATGCTACTTCACATCTATTTACAACATGACAAGCGAGCTGACTTAGAATTCGTTCAGAACACATCGCTCACACACAAAATTATCTGTGGCAATATATATTCAAAGAATAAAAGCAGTTTTGGATCAAGTAATATATAAATAAAAAATTCTTAAACAGGTCAAGTCCCACCTACGACTGTATAGATCCTTAAATGGCATTCATAAATATAGAAAGATTGCCAGTAACAGGTAACTTATTTCATATTTATGCTTACAGATGAGTTGATAAATAGTATATTAGTTTTTATTTATATAAGTTAGATAAGCAATGCGTTGCTTTATCTAACTTCTAACTTATGTTAAAAAAAATATTTTTAATTTTTCGAATTTTGGGCACTCCCCTTGTTGCCTCGTAGCATTGCCAGCATCGGAATCCTCGGCGACATATCCGCCTTGTTGCCTCAGCCAGCATCGGAATCCTCGGCGACATATCGAATGACGTTCAGTTCCGATGTTTCTTGGAAGAGAAGGCCGAATTGGCCTCTAAAAACTTGGCGTACGGCGGTACAGTATTTCATATCTTCGCACCCTTTGGTGGTGAAAGTTTGGAATACTGTTACACGGGCCGGAGGAGGAAGTTTGCTAGATTTATTATCATTACAACCTATTACAAGTCCACTGCTGAACGTAGGCGTCCTCCTAGGAAATGGCACATGGTTGTGTGCCAATCCCGTGCTCTTAACAGGTCGTTACTTCATCTAGTGGAGGGGCCGCGCTACACTGACATTTTAACGAAATAATGCAATCCCTAAAACCCTATCGTTTCAATAACTTTTTTATATTATTGGATATATATGTACTGAAGAAAGAGTGAGGAAGAATTTTTATTATGATTTATTGAAACAACCTAAATATTATTTTTATATTTTAAAAGGCAAGGCGGTGAGGGTGCAGATCCTAGTGAAGCAGGCTCGGAATTAGCGGACTCAAGTGATACCCCGCTGTTGCTGCGGACTATTTCCTCTGACACGGAAACAAGCGCGACGCCGCCTTTACTAAGGAAACTGCAACACCAGGTGAGAATATCTAAAAAAAAAAAATAGTAACATATAAAATAGTGAATATTCTTGTACTGAGCGTGTGAATCGGTAGAATTTACTTATCAACAACATACATATTTAAATTAAATTTTAGTTGTATGGGATGCTTTCTGTTTATTTTATCGCCAATCAGTCACTAAATGCATCAGGTATCAAAACATGCTTATGGATAGCACTAGCACTTGTCCTCTACCATGGCTATTCTTTTAATAACGTTTTATTTCTTGTACTTATATTTTTAGTATTTTTAATATGAATTTTAAAAGTAATTAAAATTATTATTTAAATCGTTTCGCTTTTTATCCATATAATATATTTCAACGTTACATCTTTTTATTTAAATCAGTATCAGACTCCTCTGACGACGATCTTAAATACGCCACCCTTTTATCTAATATAAAAACCGTCAGGCGAGCATGGAAAAATTTGATAAGAGCTTAGTGCTTTTTTTAACTGACTTCAATAAAAGAAGTTCTCAATTCACCTGTATTTTGTATATTACGCGATATCTTCTTCGATTGCGAATCGATTTTAATTATTCTTTTTTTTTTTTATTGAACAGGCTATATTAGCCATTTAAATTTGAAGAAAAAATTCCACCTCTGAGGGTTGAGATATAGCGATTAATTTTTTAATGTAACTACATTGTACATATGTAGATGGACATTGCCATATGTAAATAGACAACATTCTAGTTGTCACCTTGAGCTTTGAGATCTTTTACTCCACTCAAAAGGTTGAAATGATTATATCTTGTAAAAGCTCTTTGATAACTTGCTCTTGCTTACTGTTGTGACATCGTGCTCAAACATCGTCATCGAAGCCTAATTTTTGGTTTGATTGCACGCCGGCACTGCTTACAGAATAATAGAAGCTTCAATCAGATTAATACGTAATTAGGTATCAAGGTGTCAAATAAATAGCACGCAATTTACCTGAATATCCATTCAGGCAAGTTATGGAAAAACGAAGCAAAAATTTCAGAAATTGGCAAATGACACTCTGTGGCAAAAATTACATAAATTACTGAACCCGCTGTTCTGACTACACAGTCCGAAATTCATATCTAAAATATTAAATGTATTATGCTGTTATATTTTTTAATTTTAATTGAAAGTAAGTTCAGTAAGAAAACATTCTCTAATTTCACACTTTCCAGATTTTGTTCCCATAATAATAGTTAAATGCAGAAATGGTGAACACATTGCAGACTAGTTTGAATCTTGATATTTCGGAAACGTTGTTTAATTATTAAAAGTGGTTAATGCAACCTCGTAATTATTAAAAAAGACATTTACATTCTCTGTTTACCATATAAAGGAAGTACATAACACTGACACGATGTTTGTAATATTTTTTTCACATTAATATCTTAGTAATTAATACTTCTAATTTTTCATCTTATTCGGTTAAACATGTAGTTAGATGAAAGTTTATGATGTGACTAATTAGCACAGTTAAAATTATTTAAAGTATGTTTGAAGATCAACAGGGCAAACATTAAAAGGACTGTTCTACTGGGTCAACAGCATTGTTAACTTTAAATGCATATTATATTATATTTACGGACAGTGGAACGCTCATTATCGAGTTATGTGTTACAGATGATTCATTGTGTTGTTATCTTTATTTAAATTCTACTTGTTATCTGTCCACTTACCTTATGGGTAAGAAACGAGTATGACGACGACATTAGTGTATTTAGTAAACAAAGTGTTGACCTTTCTTATTTAATGTTTTTCGAACTTATTAAAATATTTGTAGACTGTGACTAACAAGAGATATGTAAAGCATAATGCAGCATATATGTAAAGTAGTGTAAAACATAATATGCTAAATTGCGATTTAACGGTTATTAATCACGTATCATTTATTTAGTAACGGGTAGTCTGATTAAATTCTTCCCTCGGTTTAATCAGGGACTGGGAAATTACTCTCAGTGTTACATATTTTTTATATTGATGACCAGTGTTCAGAGTTTTGGATACTACACACCTAGAAGGTCGGTGCGGTTTCGCTGTCGCACCGCAACAACACGACGCTATATTGCTCTGTTAAAAGGAGTCGCCGCAACTCCAACGTACCATGAGGCTTAGCCTTTACGGGATGTTATATTATATTGTAGTTTCTGTAGTTAGCAGCTAGTTATAGGCCGGTATCATCCCAATAATAATTGGACAGAAAGAAATCAACATGAGCATGTTTAATTGAGTTATATAAAAAATACAAATATTCGATGTTGATTTGACGAAGTATTTTACTTAAATTAATTACTTTGTGGTTAGAATCCTGGACCCTTAAAGGTATACATTGTATTCCGCAAGTAATCATAGTGTCTTTTATCTATTCCGTTTTTATTATATTATATCCATAAAATAGATGACAGCAAAAATATGTCACAAAATTTACGAACGTGTTATATATTATACATATTATTTAATTTTCAATGATTTCTATGAGATAAAACTTCGTGTTGCAACACCTTAGTTTTAAAATCTTACCCGTCGTTATCGAGGTACATTTATTTAAATTCTGATAACATACTGATCTAATTTACTACACATACACAAGTTACATACACAAGGTCTTAAATAATAAAGAAAGATATTTACAAAATTATGGTACAAAGTGTAAGTATGCATGTATTACTATATACCTACTTATAATATTTAGCTTAAAATGTATAAAAATATATTATAAATAATATTTTAAAACTATACTCCATCAACCAATAATATTTTTATTACCAACATTTTATTCTTTAATTTCCGTTAATCGGTAGCGTCTTCAATCTTTATGTCATCATTGTTAACGGGAACTGTGGAAGACAAAACTGCTTCTAACTCCAGGGGGCGATCTTCAACTCCTATATTGGTATTGGCAGGTAAAGAAGACGTTTCAATGGTACTGGCAGGTAAAGAAGACGTTTCAATCGTTGATGTTGCCTCAGTCGTCTTCTTTGGCTCTTCCGTTACTTGTGAGGTGGGTTTGGTAGCTTGTGTAGGGTCTTCCGGCTTGATTGTATATTCTCTACATACACCGGACATGTCAGTATCGTATATGTTACATGTGAGGTTTAAACAGCCGCTTTTATCGCATTTCATGGTAGTGCATGTCTGATCATTGCACCACACGGTCACATTGTGCTTTGCTATTTCCATGTTGTTGTCATGGGTGAAAATAGACGTTGTCGTTTCAACTTTACTATCATTATCGTTTTCGGACCCTGAACTCCACCATGTGAAAGGATATGTTATCCACCCCCATATTGTGGAGCCGATACCGCGTCCTTCAGTTATATCTGCAAGTGACAGTATAAGTTGTTAGACAATGTGATATCGATGATGAAATGTAAATTCGACAAGTAACGTGGAATGACGCTGTAAGAAGAGAGTTGTTTTCTACGGTATAGAAAAGCTTTTTGTAAAAGTTAATCAGGGATAATTAGTAAATTTTAAACAATAATTATTTAAGTGTTTTCCTTGTGCTGTGAAAGGGTACATAATGGGCGTATACGTAGTACAACTGCACGTAACGAAAAACCTTACGGTTTATATTTTTATTATTTGTTATATTTACTTTTTTTATATAATAAGGGTGACAAACGAACACACAGTTCACATGATGGTAAGTGGATGCTGTGGCCAATAATCATCTACTTTTAATCTCGATTAATAATCAAAATGCAGATGTGTTGTCACTCCTGAGGACTAAGATGGAATGCCTCGTTTCCAGTAAAAATGGTCTCCGATTCTATACACTCACCGTAAGAAACAACAGTGCTAAACATCTATTTTACGCTGGTATTCTGTGAGAGCGTGGTCCTACCCCGGTCGAGCCGACCCTTTCGTGCTACAACTATACTACTAATATAGCTGCAACATAGCTTTACCACGTATGAAAGTAGCAAATTTTAAACCATAATTATTTAAGTGTTTTCCGTATGGTCGGAAAGGGTACATGATGGGCGTACGTAACGAAAAATTTTTGTGGTTTGTATTTTTTATTTATTTATTTATTTATTTCTAGTTTATTATTATTTAATTCACTTCATGTGTACGAGCGCGCATGAGCTCGGTATTTATATATTTATGCAGTGTTTCTGTGAATCTGTAAGTCTAAGCTAATATTCCATATATTTGCGGGTTATCAAAACAAGAAAACTTTTAATGAGAAAAGTTTTAACCATAAACCTTCTGCGGGAAATTTGCCTCTTCCATAGGATAGGCTACACTTACCAGATGAATTAGTGATCGCCATATCAGACATGCTTTTGATTATTGACTAACCTGACACTATCGTTCTAATTTAAAATGTGCTCTTTTTATCAATCGCGTGAAAAATTTTGATGTAATTTTTTTAAGGCGTGTTAATTACCGATTAAAACAATCGAAGAAAAGATTATATGAGTACAAAGTAGCGGGAATAGCTTGTGAGTAATATAAAGATCTACGGCAAAAAGGAACATACAAAATAAAATAAAAAACTATCCAAAATTGTACTCTTAGTTTTATAATTTTATTATAACATACTAGCTGATACCCGCTCACTTCGCTGGGCGCATGATAATATTTTATTGCGGAAATTATTTAATTTTTTTTTTGATGGGACCATTGTGAAATCCATTCTTAGTGAGCGTCTACATTGGGAAATGAGTAACTATACTAAATTTCAAGTCAATTGGGTCAGTCAGTCAGTGGTATTTCACTTATATATAAATCGCTTAATTGCAAAAGGGCCACATGTCCCTACATGTAAAATGTTCAGGAGACACAAAAAAACTGTTTTATTATTGAATTAATCAAAATAAAACATTTATTTTTATTTTTAGGGTCATTTATATTGATATTGCTATGAGAAAACATAAAGTTTTCTTTTTAAATAAATTTAGTTAATTAGTAAATTTCCAAAAGAAAACATGGACATGTTCCCTTTTTGCTATTAACATAGGACATGCGTCCTTTATGCAGTGAATTTTATTTTTTTTCATACAAAAATTAATATAAAAATTAAACAAGGAATATTTCAAACAATGTTTATTTTCTAAGCATACATCGCTGTTTAAAAATAATTGTGAGCTTACATAGGTATACAGATTAATTACGCATTCTACTATCCCTTTCCGTACGATTTTCAGTTGGCCATTCATAAAGTTCATTCCAGAAAGTGTAATATTTTGATTTTTGAAGGAATATAAACTTTAAGTTTTTTTTTCTTTTTTTAAAAAACGTTACCCCCACACTAGAATTTTCTCCTGTATCGTGGAGGCAGTTTACAAACACAAATTTCACAAGGACAAACATCCAGACCCGGAACAATTATTTGTAGGCCATACAAATACTTGCTCCGTGCGGGATTCTAACCCGCGCCACCCAGCGCAGCAACTCATTGCTAAGCCACTGCGCCACGGAGCCGTCAAGTTTTTTAATCTTCCATTTTACATTCCAGTAGAGGTATTTTATTATGATAAAGTTTTTCTGAAGGCAAACTCACTGCAATTGTGGTAGCTTTTCTCAAATGAAAATAAAGAAATACTAGACCATCAATAAATTCTTTAGTTTTAACCACTTTTGATTCCTTGTCATTAAATTCAAAATAGTGGTATTTTGATATTGTGAATGAAATTGAGGCTGAGTTACCTCGAGCTTCAGATTTTTTGTTTTTATAATAAAATTTAGGGTACCAATTGTGGACATCATTGATAATTGAAGATTCTGCCAGAAACACAGTAAACTTATCTTTAATATTGGAAGACGTCATTATTACCTCTTGCACATACTCATCTACTGTGTAAAGTCTGCCAAATTCTTTTTATTTTCGTTTAATGAGACCAAATGCTCGGTCACAAGGCAAAAACGAGTAGCCACGTTGAGGAAACTGCAGCTTAATTTTTTTTTAATCAACTTAGTTTTATCAAACTCATCACCATTCTTATAAGGGCGTAGTTTTTATTTTGGCCCTAGCAATTTTCACAAAAAAGGTGTACATCTTCTACTTCAGGGTCTAACACGAGTAAATAAAACGAAAAAAATATCTTATTTTACGAGTGAATAAGGCTTCTACTTTTATTTGAAATTATCCCAAATTGAATGTGATTTATGGGCAACAACGTTTTGCCTACCGATCGACTGTGACTGCGAATGTGTGCGTGCGCAGTAACATGAGTTAAAATAATGCATTATCACGCAATTTGAACTTAGATAAAAAGGACAGAATGTTTGAGATATTTTTTAAATTAATTTTTCTTCACCGGTTGCGTATACTACTTATTCTAAACATTCTCTGCAAATTTGGCCGGCTATTGCAAAATAACCCTGTATAAAACATTGCTTAATGTTATAAATGTAGGTACTTACATTCAGTAGGACTACTAAGCGATGTGCAGATAAGACACAATACAAAGAATGGCACTAATTTGTTAGAAATCAACATGACGGCAAGTAACACGCGTTTGGCTCTTTCAAGGGAATAACTGTTTGCTCAGTCCCACCTGAGGTTTATATACGCCATAGCCCTGTATGTCCCTATCGCGAGATAAGCCCTTGGAAATGTTTACATAATGAGCTACGAATGAACATAACGTCTAAACTTTTAATTATCCCAAAATGACGTTCAACCCATTTAAACAAAAGAGAATAAGATAACTCTGTTAAGGCTTATAACTTCGTCGTCTAGTAAGAAATAACACTTAACTATTTCATGAAAGAGATTAACATAACATTTTTTGACCGATAAGGACACTCCCCTGCTCCCCATCTGGTGTTGTTTATTAATGCTTCGTAAAAGTTCTTGTACTATCATTCTGTGCACTATCTATCCTGTGGTAAAAGTAAATCGCTGCAAGAATAGCTTTCGTTTGACAAAATCATGAAATGACATATTTTTACCGTGTTTAAAATATGAATCTAATCTGAAAAAACGCTAAAATTATAAATTTTTCATTTTAACTGCCTCGCTCGAGAAATTTCTCTGTCTTATAATTTACAACACATTTTTATTTTAGACCACTTTATTGCACCACATTATTTTGACTCGCCACTTGTTGACTGTTTCGGGCAGGCATTAAGCCTACCTTTTGTTATGTACATTTGTAGACATTATACCTATATGTAGTAATAATTAAAAAGTAGGTAATACAAAACATATTTTAGGATGCTAAATGTCCCGTACGTTCTATATTACAAATTGTAGAGTTTTCATCATTTCTTGTCATATTCACTTCACACAACACGCAATATTTCTTTATGTCTGGACAAGTCAAGAACCTGCAGAATGTGTCGTGTTTTAAACAGTTTGTTAATATCTTTAATTTCTTCGGAAGTGCGGATTCTGCGTACATCTCTCGAATAATGTGTTGAAAAATTTTAGGATTCACTATGTTCATACTGTTTTCTTTTAAAAGGTCTTTTAAATTTAAACTTCTACCATACATTTGTACTATTCTTTTTAAATTTACTAGCATTTCCGATGTTATGGTTTCCTCCGAAATATCTCCAATTGAATTGAAATGAATTATCTTTGAAGGATCTCTTTTTTTAGCAGAGACCCATGGATTTATATAAACGTTCTTACTCTATAAAATAAAACATTGTTTGTTATTTTACGTTAAATATAGATTATATATATTATATTTATTTAATATAAAATTAGACTCACTTTAAATGTATTTGATTTAACAAGTAACACACTTAAAAATATAAATGTTAATATGATTCTTATTAAAACATTTACATAGCTTTGTAAAATTAGATTCATTGCTGTTAGCTCGAACTAAAAAGAAGGCTTGCTTACTTATCAACTACTGTGAAAAGGTAAGTGCAATAAAATGCTCGTAGTCATAATCTTTCTGTTTCAGAGTTTCCATTTATTTTCTAAACAATAATACGAAACTATTTTTACATAACTTTAAAGTGTTTGAAGTTCAAACAGTGTCCTGATGAATTCAGTTCTTTAATAGAACATTTAGCCTTTAAAAAGTTTTTCTTTGACGCTACCAAGCTGATGCACTTCGAATTGATACAAAGAGTCACCTTTCCAAACATCTTGCCCAACATTTTATCCTGCAAAATATCAACAACTTCGAATGCTATGTTCGATGGTAAATCCATAATCGTTTCCATTGTAGCCACGCTATCTGAAAAATAATAAGTTATTATTAACATAAAAATCTATTTCTGACAAATAATAGTTAATTTGCAGAAATCTCTCTACGAATTTAAAACAACTCACAATTAAAGAAAAAACATAAAACATTCAACTCTCACGCTTGTCACCCAGACTGGTAAACAGAGAAGGACTGCCATTTGGCACGATCCCGACACCTCTCACGCCTCTTTCACATAATACCTACGCGTAACCTTAACCAACGAGCATCGTTGGTTAAGGTTAATCTTTATTTTCCCCATCTATATATCGCAAATTTGTTTGATATTGAAACTCGAATTTTTAACATAACTCAATTCTTAATAACGTCCCCATTTTATCAAGCTCACTTTTGCATTAATGGCAGAGAAAGCCCAACACAGATATTTATCTTTGTTAGGCGTATAAGGCTGAGCTTTGTGATGTAGAAATCCAGCTAATGATGGGGGTGGAGGCAATAGTTGGGGTTATTCAAGTTATTGTATTGTGCTAGTCATTATTGTATTGAGCATTTTCTATGGAATAAGGGTCAGATGCATCCATCATCAGATGGGCTGTATGCTTGTTTGTCACAAGCATACAGTCCATCTGATGATGGTAAGTACATCCTACATCTATCTAGAAATCAAAATGCAGATGCGTTATCACCCCTGATGGGTAAGAAGGAAATCCGCGTTTCCACTAAAATGGTCTTTAGTTCTCTACATACTCCTTACGTAACTCAACAACATTAAGGTGCTATTTTAGGCTGGTATTCTGTGAGAGCGTAATCCCTGTCCGGAGAGTGCAAAACATTCGTCCTACAACCAGAATATAGCTGCAGCATGGCGATACCACGTATATAACAAATAAACCATATAAAAAAAGATAATTTATTATTTTGTGGAAGGATAACAGTAAAAAACTAGCCAATACGTAATACTTTAATTTTGAATGCAAATCTTAGCAAAATATTTATTTCCCTTTTTATTTGTAATGAATTTCGGCAGTTAAAATATTTTTTAAACTTACTAAATGTGCCAATAGTATAAGATGACAAATTTGTAACCTACCTGTTGTGTTTGATCCGGCGCAATGACCTTTTTGATTAAACCTGTCTACTGGTAAACAAATTCTGTGGATACAGGTCTTCTCAGAACATTTCATAGAATGACATATTTTTTGGGAGCAAAATGTCAAGACTCCTCTGATGTATTTGCCCATAAAGGACATAAACACAGGAGCTACAGTGTCGACATCATTCCAGTCGACATTTCCAAATATAGCTTGTTCAAGAGCCATCGTATGGTTTTTATGTATGATCTCTTGAGACATGTTTAATTTTACCTTTTTGTTTTCTCTATCTATAATTATTTCTGTAATGTTGTTGACAGTAGTAGAATTATAATTTCTTGTATTATTTGGCCAATATAGAAGTTCCGCATCGACGGTCAAAGTTTTGAAATCATTTTCTTTCATACTTGTTGACGCTGATTTTATATTTTCTGTGAACGTTCCCTTGGATGCGTTATTTTTGTTGGGTATTAATGATTTTTGATATATGACTGAACGTCTGATTCGTAAAATTTGTGGTGCATCAGTAGAAATATTTAATTTAGTATTAACGTAATCTGTTTCTATACTGTTTTCAAATTTGTCTGTTTTATTAAAAATTGTAACGGGAGCTACAGTTGCAATTTCAGCTTTGCTTTCTTCATTTTTACTATCATTAAATATAGACCTCGATGTAGTAACGCTTTGATTGAAAGTTGCTTTTTCAATTTTTTGAGTATTATTGAATTGAAGGTTCAATTGCGGTCTCAGTTTGCTGTCTTCATTCCCGCGATTAACGTTACTGTTATTGTTATTTTCATCTATTTTAATCAGTGGGAAATGTTGAGGTTCGATTTTAATGTTGTGGAAAGTTATTATTTTCTTTTTATGTTTTTTATTACCACTGTTATTTAATTTTGTTTTCTTTTTCTTATGTATTATTATTTTATGTAAAGTTGTAGAATCATCTTTGTTAAGTTGCATTGGTTTTCTCAGACCAAAAATTTCAAAAGGTACAGGAAAATTAAATTTGGATACCGGTGAATTCATTAGAATCCGAACTTCTTTAGAATTTTTCCCATCGGATTCTATAGTTTTATCCTGGCTACGATTTTTGAATTTTAGAATATTTTCTAATATTTTTGGTAGTTGTATATCTACTTTTATATGGATATTCAGATCATTGTCGGTTACTCCTGATGAAGGACTTGAAAATGCTGGTTTTTCTAACATATTACCACCTAACAGTGCTGACCCGCCGTAAACCGGAATTCTGATATCATCAAAATCTATGTGTTTAGATTGATCGGTATTCTCGTACATAGTGGTATCTAATGATACTAAACAGTGCTTGCAGTTGCAATTGCATGGCATTCGATTATCTTTGCAGATGCAGGGTTGTTTTACTGAATTATAATCAGTTACGGGGAAAGGAGACGGGAAATTCATAAATTTCTTTTCACTGATTACTGGTCTCTCTCTGTTCTCTTGATTATTTTTCTTTGCCGGATTACTTAACTCCAGTTTATTAAAATAACTCAAATCTGGGTTCAAAGGAACAAATAGATCTAATTGGTTATTAATAGGCCTCGCTGGAAGATGGAATGTGTTAGAAAAGGAATTAAAATAATCCTCATACTTATTGTTGGAGAAAGGTTTAATCTTCGAATATTTCTCTTGACGTCTTAATGGTATCCTGTTTTTAGTTTTGGCCTTTTCCTCGTAATTTTGTTTTTGTTTGTGAGCTCTATCTAAATAGTGTTGGTATTCTGTTAATAAATCTTCGATGTTTTCGTCACTTTCACTTTCACTCGGTACGGGTGAGTACTGCAATTAATATTTGTGTTAGTAATTTGAAGTGTAATAAACATGCATTATATTACTTTATAGGAACATGAAACATCTCTATCGTCAAGATATTCTGTTAATAAGGTTATAAGGTTAATACTATGAGTGTCTCTGCGTATGTTGTACTTATAGGCGTGAGAAAAAAATATTTTTTTTTTTCGGAAAGGCTTATTTGTTTCAAGATTTGTCAAACCTGGATAAACTATAAAAGTAAAACATTATCTCTATAGAAAATTTTATCCAATTCGTTAAAGCAGTTTCTTTGAAATTACATATAAATACACACACACACACATAAGTATGTATATATATTATGTTTCTCAATATTTTTTTAATTATTAAAAAAACTGTTAAATAGGTTTGGTTTTATATCGATAAAACAATGATTTTCTGTGAAATACTGTAATCAAACATTTCTGACTGTGAACAAAAATAAATTATTATTTTTGCCCAGCTGTTGGGCCGTTTGGGCTAGAATATTAAAGAACAAAAAATTAAAAATTAAAAAAACCTGCCGGATGCAGGATTCCAACTTGCGCCCTTCGGCGTGGTCGACCTACGCTCTATTCATTGGGCTCTTAAAATATGAACTCCGTGCAAAATTACCAATCATATTACGCGGGCAAGTCAAGTTTGTTACTTTGTTCTTGAAAACGCAAAGAAATCATTTTCCCAGAAATGAGACATATCTAGATCGATTTTTCTCCTCCTTAAACCCATATATTGTAAATTCCATCGAAATCGTTAAGGCCGTTTTTGAAAACGTGATTACAAACAAATGCATATATAAATATTGATCGTGTAATAAAATAGGATTTACAGTAGAAGCTAGAGTAAATGTCTTAATATCTCTAAATGCTTTATATAGCAAAACAAGGGAGGTTCTTTTATGCTACCTTGTTTTGGTGTACGTTCAATAGTGCACATAGCCACTGGACTGAACCTAAAATTTCATTTTCATCATTTCATTCATACAATATTTTGCCACCTGCTCTGGCTTCAAAAAAGTAGACTTTTCCAAAAAACAACTGTAGAGCTAAACGACTAGGTGGATAAACTTATCATACAAATTGTACTCCTTAGATTATTACTAAAAATAATCACATTTTAACGATATATGACTATCTATTATTGATTACATTTATTAAAGGAATTAAAAACGAAATAAAGCTATACGATTCCTACTTCTTAAATCTTGTTTGAAATAATTTTAAAGTAATAGAAAATAAAATTTCAAACCAACCGTATTACTGTCAAAATCGTTAATAATCTCTGCGATATCATTAAAAAGAATTGCATCGTTGAACGGAGATAAGTCCAATCGGTTCATTTCATAACCTGCTAAAGTAAAATTAATATGATTTATATTTTTCGTTTATTAAAATACTTGTAATATTATAAACTTAAACATTTCTACAATTAATACTTACTGTCTGCCATATAATCAGCACAGTCAACTGTATTTAAAAGAAATATACACCATAATGTACCAACTATTTTAAATGTGAAATTCATTGGTAAGTTTCGTCTATGTTTCATTCAGCGCAATACAAATTTATGAATTTCTCAACTACAGTAACATGAATACTCGGAATGTTTACAGAATAAGGAAGTGTTATAAAACAAGGCACTTTAAATGCCCATTGTTTTTTGCTGTAAGCATATTATGCAACAAAAATCAATGCGTGAATAAAGAGTATTTTTTTTGGTTCTACATTTTAACAGAATAACAAAATAAATTAACAAAATTGCAAGGTTATGAAAAATAATACTATTTTTTAGAAATTGGAAAAGGAGAAGGAGACGTCTCCATACATTCTTGGGCCCGAGTGTTAACAAGATGAAAGTAGGACCATTTGAAAGCGTATATATAAACAATTCATAACTGAAAATCGGGTAAGATTTGTCAATCTAGGAGCTGAGTTATTGTAGAATAAGTAAAAGTGAGATTATGTATTACCTACACTGTAACAGGTGATTTTTCACTGTTATTACACTGTAATAGGCTATCTTGCACTATAAAGATATAATAGCAGGATCACTATAAAATCACTAAAAAAGCTGTGGTTAATAATGAAATGAAATGGTGAAACGATTAATAAAAGTTAAAACAACAACAACTAAATGAAGTGAATATTAGGGATATCGATCTGAGATCGATTACTTGAATTGTCATTGTAACTGTTACTTGTTGGAATGTTGATATTTTGTATTTTTTATTATTATTCTGTAGATATGTACGCAATAATTTTTTATCGTCCTAATCAACACAGAAAAATAATCGAAAATGGACATTAAAATGCTCAATTTAATCGAGAATCGATTATATTGCGCTCGTTTCAAATCGAAAATCTGTCTTTTTCTCTTAAGTAAATAGTTTGAAGTTTGAACTGTCAAGTTTCAAAATGAGAAGTCCTCTATTGGAAGATAACGTTCAGAAACGAGAATTTTACTAGTGTTTTCTTTATGGTAATCGATTTATTGCCATAAAGAATACACTACAATCGATTTTCTAACATATTTCTTATTTTATTGTTTTTTCGAATTCTAGATTGTAAAAGAGCTACTTTTTGTATTTTACTTTAGAAAAATATGGCCAATTTTTTAAAGTATAAACCAGTTAGTTAACTTCAGGCCCATAAATCCCATTCTCCTTTGTGTTTCATGATTTCATAATCATTATCTATTCTACACTCAGGGGTGTTTCCTGACTACTTACACACTTATAAATAACTTTAAAATGAATTGTAAGGAATAATAATATTAGATTAAGTGATATATATAATTTTAAGGATATATTGAAAGTATTTTTTTAAAGAAAAAAAATTTGAATGAATAGATATTAACTAGCTTAAAACATTTAAATTAAACAATGAATATAATAAATTAGAGTTAGGAAAAAATGATTGATTTATTAACATGTTTAACGAAACAAGGGACAGTTTTAATATTGTTATAAAGAAATATTAAGGATTGTTCTGTATCTAATAGCAGAAGGGCAATGAACAAACATTGCAACAAAATACCGCAAGTGATAGATGAAATCGCTTGTGGAAAACAGAATACTTACTTACATATTTGCAGTGATTACCTAGAATTATAAATTTCATTAAAATTTTATTTTTGGAAGAATTTAAGCCTATAAACTAACAATAAATATGATTAGACCTACAAGTTTACTATTTGTGTTTACTTACTTAATGAAAAGTCAAAGAAAGTATATAGAAGAAATAAAGCACCGAGGTCACTAAAAGCTGTTATATATGGAAATTATTTTATTCTTTTTCATTCTTTGATGTTATATGAAAATTAAAATCTGACTTTTTACTTTTTAAAAATTTTAATTTTTGGCCCTTTATATCACAAGTTTAACTTAAGGTAACGAATAAAATAACGAAACACGAATGTCATCTAAAAAGTTACATTACAAGCTTTATCACCTATTTTCCCACCCGTAGGAATGAATTTTTTCTCCAAATTTATATAGGACCACTCCTAAAGTATAAACCTTATTAACTTATTAAAAAAAAATATTTAAAACGGTGGTTAATACATACAAAAAAAAAACATGCGTGCGTCGTGGAACACTCAGTTGGAACGAAGTTCCTTTCATAGTATTTTTAAATACTAGTAATGCTATTAAATTAAACATTACTAATATTCCCTTAAACCACTTCTCGTAAGCTTAAAATATTTGTGTTAGAAGTGGTTCACGACAGTAGTCGAACGGCGGATTCGAACCCACGACCTTTCTAGTTTGCGGTCCGTGCCCCGCCAATTAGGCTACTGACGCTTCTAATAGATTATTATTGATAAACGTATATATTATTTTTATTTATTTATTAAGAAGAAACATAATATACAAATCACAAACAAATCAAATGTAACATAGATTATCGCAACTTTAAGTTTTTCATAAAATGTAATATGCTTAAACTCATATTAGAAACCCTATATTCTGTACTGATTTTATAGAAAAAAAAAACCGTATCACAGTAATGCAGTATTCTCCGTTATGAAGCAATTAAACAGTGTTACATCAACAGACTTATGCGATAAACAAATACAAAATTTGAAGGTAGATTTTGTTCTTTTTATACAAAATAATAAGTGATTTTACTAAAACATAGTACATACAAAATTTACCGATGATTGATTAACAAATACAAATAAAGTAATTACTAGCGTCTATTAAAATGAAGCGTCATTTAAAATATTTCCTTCATGGCAAGATAAGAAAAAGTGCGAGGGTGATGGATATTATTCCATCTCGCTTCCTTATAGCCACCAAGGTCATCTACACTACGTCAGAAAGGGTTGTGACGAAAAAATCTTACACTTTTTCTCGCCTAGCCCCCATGCGCCAAATTCGTGCCGTCCGATAAAGAACTTCGTTCCAAAAACATTGTCGAATTGAGAACCTCTTCCTTTTAAGTCCACTAAAACGGAGCGCTGCGTTTTGACGCGTGTTGAATTTAATACTAAAGGGACTAGTTAATAATTAACAATCTTCAGTTCAGGGATGAAAGCGGTATTTTACAAAGTAACATTTTCTCAATTAAGTTTCAAACAATGAATTTGCGATGCCATTTGATGTGAATCCAAACTTTAACAATAAAAAATATTGCGGTGAGGGCGCTACTACTGCTTACTGTTTATTATAATTAAACATAAACTGAATTAATATTACCAACTCACGAGTGGTTATGATCTTTCTTTGGTATGTTCGTACAGGAATCGAACACGAGCAACAATGCCGAAGCTGAGCGTCTCACTATGCATCGCTGCATAGTCACAAGTATCATAGAAAGTGAGACAGTGTATGTAGAATGTCTTTACGTCATGGAAAAGGTAATATTGTTTTTTATTCGAACATGCTCTAAATAATGACTTTTATGTCTGAATGTAAAAGTGAAACAATTGAACTATTTTATTATGCTGAACTATTTTACTGTAATATTTATTTGTTAATGTTGTATTTTCACTGTTTTTATCCAAAAAAAATAATAACTTTATTAAATTAACTAATATCCAATCTAATGAAGTTTGTGATGATTGGAGGTGATTAAAATAAGTTTATTATTTTGGTCATGCTGTGTTACAGAAGGATTATATAAAATCTAATTTCAGTATATGAACGCAATCAAGGCTACACTCTCGACATCACAACCCGTTATAACAGAGGAGGAATTCAACACGATATTCTATAAGATATCAGAGCTGCATGAACTGCATAAGAATTTTCTCGAAGGACTGAAAGCAGCTGTGGCTAGTTGGGAGGAGCCCTTATCAGTAGGCATTCATTTCAAGAAAATGGTAAATATTCTCGTCCGCATATATTACTAAAATTTTTGTTTAAATTTAGGCATTCAACGATATGCGTGCTTTACAATATTATTATGCATTGATTGCATTTAAATGTAACTAAATTTAAAACACTTGAAGTAAATGCCTCTTAAAGGAAGAAACAGAGGAGCTTAATATATCATCATTAATTCTATTGTACGAGAAACACACGTGATATAAGAATAAATGCTGAACATAATTTATACGAGCATATGGGAGGTTTAGCGTTTTCTATTTACAATACGACTAGAGGAATGAGGAACATGAAACTATATTTTGCGGAACAAATTAAAGGCTATCTATGTATTCGTTAATTACTTTATGCAGAAATGAAATGTCGGTAATAAACTAATAAATCTTTTGTGTTTAAGTTAAGACAGCTTGAAGTGTGAAAGTCTAGATTTATAAGAATAACTGGCAACAAAGATTCTAGTCTTTCCAGACTCTATACACACTGGATACGATCTATGGTAGTAGTGATGTAAAGTCAACTTGGCTAAGCATGTAAATAGTCGTCGATGCACATTATTATTTTTGAGTGTGTAGTGGCGGTGTAAGAATATTGGCTACCCTACGTCTCGTTACTGTCGTTAGAGGTGACAGAGGGAAACAAACCAGGAGATGGGGAGCAGCGTCTTCCTAATAACAACTAAAAAATTAAAAACTGCAGTTGCCAACCCGCCTGCCAAGAGTGACGACTATATCATATCTCCCTATAAGGCAATACATGGGGAGGCATATGTTCAGCGTGGACTTTGATAGGATGTAGTGATGGTAATGATGATGCTGATGATGATAATGAAAATAATGACATGTTAGAGGCGTGGTGTTGCTAATTCGGTGTCAGGTTTTGCAGCTAAATCGTATTTATAAAAAAAGCTAGATTAGTGCTAAATAATAAATTAATTTGGTTGATTTTTTTTTTAAATATAATTGATTACATTCAATGTAGATTACTTATTGAATAGCTAAAAAAAGAATAAAAAATTTAAATTAAAATTAGCTTTAAATATAATTTGCCGACTATGGTAAATATCCTCTATGAGGGAATCTATGGGGGAGGCCTGCGTTCAGCGGTGAAGTTTGACGGGCCGTTGTTTCAGGCTGAGAACATAAACGTGTACGGCGCGTTCCTGCACAACTACGGGCGCGCCACGGACGCGGTGCGGCGGCGCTGCGGCAGCTCGGCGCGCTTCGCCGACCTCACGCGCCAGATCGCGTGCCGCGGCCAGCCCATGTCGCTCGACGACCTGCTGCACAAGCCCGTCGCCAGGGTGCAGAAGAACGCGCTCGTCTTGCACGTCAGTACACCACCTCACTCATCTTCGCAGATATTTCTTAATTCTTTATTTGTACAGTCCGTACCTATAAAGGATGGGAATAGAAATGGCGGCTCATCCAGCCTGTACCGTCAACATTCACAGTACCCATATTATGGAAAACACCCTAATAACGGTATATCCTTATATTATTTGGTTAATTGTAAATTTTCTATTAATGGTCAAATATTTGAAAAGAATTGTATACGCAAGTAGATACATTAATTTTAAACTTGTAGTCTAAATTTTTCGGATAAAATTTAGTCTTTACTCTATTTATTCGTAAAGTTTTAGTACAATCGGTTCTGTCATTCCAAAAATTAGTTCAGAGAGACAGACAAACGATAATTTTAAAAATGGTCACTCATATCTCAATAACATGTAAATATTTTATGCAAAAGTAGTAATAAACAAAATCAACCATAATTATTAGAAAACCTAAAACGCGTCGTAGCTCACTAATTAGCGAAATCGGAATGATTTTTTTTAGTAGTTTATAACATTTTGTTAACATTGATTCCAATGACAAGTTGGACTGAAGTTATAGAACGTACGAAAAAAGCATTTCGCAATGTATTTTTTATTTGCAGTATTTACCGGCGGGTGTGAGTATAGATAGCAACAGTGTGCGAGCGAGAGGTGAATAGAGGCGACGCCATTTTCAATCCCATTCTTTAACTGCACGGGTATTTGTTTGTGTCTTCTCGACAGCCCGAAAAATGTCCACAGAACATTTGCTTTAACCGTCAGAGATGGGTTAACGGTCGCAGTACCAGACGTGTCACACCTTTGACGCTGCTTCCTGTTCCAAGTCTGGATATTTTACGTCTCGCGTAGACAGGGTGGTTATACCGCCATCTATCGAAAGCCATGACATCGTACTTGTATTTTCTATAGACACCGTTTACGGGAACCTCGAGATCAAATGTTGTGATGGATTTTCTTACGCCGTTGATAGTGAGAAATAGGCTAGGCAGAGATATAAACTTCTGAAACATGCCGCAGCTCCAACTGTAACTGCAGTCTGAATGGATCGGCTCAACCGGGAAAAGGGCGCAAGCATAATTCTGCTGTGTTTCATATTTATGGTGAATGACGAAATCCGGAGATTATTTTTACTGTTGTTTTTTTTTTTACTAGTGCCAAGTAGTGATATCGCATCTGCATTTAAATTCTTAATCAGGAAAAGATGTAGCCGTTTATAGGTCACCTTATAGTAAGTGGATGGCACTTACCATATGGATGACCTGTTGTGTGCTAGTTTGTCGAGACATCTGCTACTGCGATCGAAAATCCAGGTAAAAACAGATTACGGGTTATTAAAAAAAATCTGTGATTTTAATACTTATTGCTAATGTTAGATAATATGTGTAGTGTTTTTTTTTTCAGGATCTCATAAAATACACACCAGCTAGTCACCCAGATCACGCAATGTTAACGGATGCATTAAACATGACGCAACATTTTCTCGACGAATTCAATATCATACAAACAAAGTCTATGTTCCCTGTATGTATAAATTGTTATTTATTCAAATAAGATGGTCTCAGGGTATAAAATATTCATTTCGGTTCGATTTTATTTACAGAATGCTGATCGCGCACAAAGAAGACTCGTTAAAAATTCATTTATTGTAGAACTTTCGGACGGCCACAGGAAGCTAAGGCATTTGTTTCTATTCAATGATGTTATCGCTTGTGCCAAATACAAGGTAATTTAAATAATTGTATTCAAAAATATATTTCAACTGATGCTTGAGAGAAAAAAATATGCAAATAAACAAAAAGATCCTTTTATTTATTTGTATAACTTTCATGTGTCTGTGTGTGATTTTTATATCTTATTATAAAAGTAAATACTAGCAATGAGTTACACGGTGCTGAGGGCCGCGGGTTCGAATCCCGCACGGAACAAGTATTTGTATGGCCTACAAATAATTGTTCAGAGTCTGGATGTTTGTCATTGTGCAATTTATGTATGTAAACTGCCTCCACGATACAGGAGAAAATCCTAGTGCGGGTGTAGTTCTTTGTTTAATAAAAAATTCAATTAATATATTCTGCGTATACACAGAAATGTAAAATAATGTAAAATGTATAATATGTAGAATACAATTTTCAAAAATTACGAATCATTCGCAAAAATCTAACTTGTAATTAATCCAGTGTTCTTCATCAACTGTGTCGTAGCAGTGTAGGAATATTGTTCCATGGAGGTCGTAAGAGACGTCACAGGGAAACATTCCAGGGGATCGGAAGCGCGTCTTCCTTTTTCATCATAATATTTCAAAATGTCTGGTTCAACTTGTGTTTCTAAAGCTCGTTCTACCAATAAAGTCTGCTGTCGTCAAACAAATTGCTATAGGAAATGTAGACATTAACAATTTCACTTATGCGTTTTAAATATAAATTTGCAGATTATAAATCACTCATGGTCGAATAATCGGGTGCTTATTTACCTAAAGTTTACATTTTTTAACATTAAAGAAAGATTATTATGGACGCCTTCTTAAATTCCGCATGCGGGATTGCTTGAAGGCCCTAAGTTGAATAAAAATGTTACCTACGTATAAATATTTCATAGGACCAATTGTAAATGTATTATTTCATTGAATTCTTTCATACTTAAAAATTTTATTTTAATCTCATTATAGTCAAACAATTTACAAAGAAAATTTGTATGAGAACTTGTTCGTCTATTCTCGCAGTCCCCCCTTGGCGGACATTGGGAAAAAAAAAGTTGCTATATCCGCGAATCTTCCCGTTGGAACCTGCTGGTAGACACTGGGAAGAAATGAATTACTTTATCCCTCAGTAGTGGATATCGAAACCAAAAAAGTTCCGTTGTCCTTTTTTGTTATTATTATTAATTATTATATATATATATTTATTATTATATAAAAACACCCATTCTTAATTAAAATATAATATAATTCTCAGTTTTTAACATAATATAAAGTTCGGTTTTATTATAATATAAAATTTAACGACGTTGACGTGTCTGCGTCTGGTTGATGTGAACATGACGCAAATACGTTTACATCGCCAACTTCAGATTCTACTTGTTTAGAAGTTTTTTTACAAAGTACATTCATGAATGACTACATGAATATACAGACAAGCGACGAATGAAGGTCAGGCAGGTAAAAAACAATGCGCAGAGTTCGAACGCCCCGCTCCCTCTGCGTCCCCCGGTCCGTTCCCTACTTCATCCCCCGCTCACAATGAGGTCGTCTCTGCAGGTTTGTCTAGTGATGTTGTTGTATGTGTATGGTAATATTATTGCTATATCACTCACTCTCTTGTAGGACATCCATGTGTTCAAGTAATATTCTTAGTCTTGTAATTAATTGTAGTTCAGTATATTTACGAAATATTAGTCAATCTCTAGGTCGTGGGATTCAATTAAATAAATTTGATTTAGAAGTTCACGTCCATATTAATCTTTAATGCCAAAAAATGTAAACTATAGGTATTTTTTGCTTGCTTTTGTGGAAGTTTGCAAACTAATTGACTATATATCGCTACAGGCGTCAGGGCGCGACAAGTTCACGTTCGAGCTGAAGTGGTTTATTCCACTGCCAGAGATAGTTGTGGTAGAGGATGAAAGCGTCGGTGGAGGCGAAGCGCGGGAGACGTCGCCCGCCAACATCGTGGCGCTCAAGTCGCAGGCGTCCACCGTGCGCGACCAGATCCTCGCCGAGGAGCGCGCCGCACACGACGACAAGGTACGTCCCGCACCAGATCGTGCCGCACAAGTCGCAGGCGTCCACCGTGCGCGACCAAATCCTCGCCGAGGAGCGCGCCGCACACGACGACAAGGTACGTCCCGCACCAGATCGTGCCGCACAAGTCGCAGGCGTCCACCGTGCGCGACCAAATCCTCGCCGAGGAGCGCGCCGCACACGACGACAAGGTACGTCCCGCACCAGATCGTGCCGCACAAGTCGCAGGCGTCCACCGTGCGCGACCAGATCCTCGCCGAGGAGCGCGCCGCACACGACGACAAGGTACGTCCCGCACCAGATCGTGCCGCACAAGTCGCAGGCGTCCACCGTGCGCGACCAAATCCTCGCCGAGGAGCGCGCCGCACACGACGACAAGGTACGTCCCGCACCAGATCGTGCCGCACAAGTCGCAGGCGTCCACCGTGCGCGACCAAATCCTCGCCGAGGAGCGCGCCGCACACGACGACAAGGTACGTCCCGCACCAGATCGTGCCGCACAAGTCGCAGGCGTCCACCGTGCGCGACCAAATCCTCGCCGAGGAGCGCGCCGCACACGACGACAAGGTACGTCCCGCACCAGATCGTGCCGCACAAGTCGCAGGCGTCCACCGTGCGCGACCAGATCCTCGCCGAGGAGCGCGCCGCACACGACGACAAGGTACGTCCCGCACCAGATCGTGCCGCACAAGTCGCAGGCGTCCACCGTGCGCGACCAGATCCTCGCCGAGGAGCGCGCCGCACACGACGACAAGGTACGTCCCGCACCACATCGTGCCGCTCAAGTCGCAGGCGTCCACCGTGCGCGACCAGATCCTCGCCGAGGAGCGCGCCGCACACGACGACAAGGTACGTCCCGCACCACATCGTGCCGCTCAAGTCGCAGGCGTCCACCGTGCGCGACCAGATCCTCGCCGAGCGCGTCGCACACGACGACAAGGTACGTCCCGCACCAGATCGTGCCGCACAAGTCGCAGGCGTCCACCGTGCGCGACCAGATCCTCGCCGAGGAGCGCGCCGCACACGACGACAAGGTACGTCCCGCACCACATCGTGCCGCTCAAGTCGCAGGCGTCCACCGTGCGCGACCAGATCCTCGCCGAGCGCGTCGCACACGACGACAAGGTACGTCCCGCACCAGATCGTGCCGCACAAGTCGCAGGCGTCCACCGTGCGCGACCAGATCCTCGCCGAGGAGCGCGCCGCACACGACGACAAGGTACGTCCCGCACCACATCGTGCCGCTCAAGTCGCAGGCGTCCACCGTGCGCGACCAGATCCTCGCCGAGCGCGTCGCACACGACGACAAGGTACGTCCCGCACCAGATCGTGCCGCACAAGTCGCAGGCGTCCACCGTGCGCGACCAGATCCTCGCCGAGGAGCGCGCCGCACACGACGACAAGGTACGTCCCGCACCACATCGTGCCGCTCAAGTCGCAGGCGTCCACCGTGCGCGACCAGATCCTCGCCGAGCGCGTCGCACACGACGACAAGGTACGTCCCGCACCACATCGTGGCGCTCAAGTCGCAGGCGTCCACCGTGCGCGACCAGATCCTCGCCGAGGAGCGCGCCGCACACGACGACAAGGTACGTCCCGCACCACATCGTGGCGCTCAAGTCGCAGGCGTCCACCGTGCGCGACCAGATCCTCGCCGAGGAGCGCGCCGCACACGACGACAAGGTACGTCCCGCACCACATCGTGCCGCTCAAGTCGCAGGCGTCCACCGTGCGCGACCAGATCCTCGCCGAGCGCGTCGCACACGACGACAAGGTACGTCCCGCACCACATCGTGGCGCTCAAGTCGCAGGCGTCCACCGTGCGCGACCAGATCCTCGCCGAGGAGCGCGCCGCACACGACGACAAGGTACGTCCCGCACCAGATCGTGCCGCACAAGTCGCAGGCGTCCACCGTGCGCGACCAGATCCTCGCCGAGGAGCGCGCCGCACACGACGACAAGGTACGTCCCGCACCACATCGTGCCGCTCAAGTCGCAGGCGTCCACCGTGCGCGACCAGATCCTCGCCGAGCGCGTCGCACACGACGACAAGGTACGTCCCGCACCACATCGTGGCGCTCAAGTCGCAGGCGTCCACCGTGCGCGACCAGATCCTCGCCGAGGAGCGCGCCGCACACGACGACAAGGTACGTCCCGCACCACATCGTGGCGCTCAAGTCGCAGGCGTCCACCGTGCGCGACCAGATCCTCGCCGAGGAGCGCGCCGCACACGACGACAAGGTACGTCCCGCACCAGATCGTGCCGCACAAGTCGCAGGCGTCCACCGTGCGCGACCAGATCCTCGCCGAGGAGCGCGCCGCACACGACGACAAGGTACGTCCCGCACCACATCGTGCCGCACAAGTCGCAGGCGTCCACCGTGCGCGACCAGATCCTCGCCGAGGAGCGCGCCGCACACGACGACAAGGTACGTCCCGCACCAGATCGTGCCGCACAAGTCGCAGGCGTCCACCGTGCGCGACCAGATCCTCGCCGAGGAGCGCGCCGCACACGACGACAAGGTACGTCCCGCACCAGATCGTGCCGCACAAGTCGCAGGCGTCCACCGTGCGCGACCAGATCCTCGCCGAGGAGCGCGCCGCACACGACGACAAGGTACGTCCCGCACCACATCGTGGCGCTCAAGTCGCAGGCGTCCACCGTGCGCGACCAGATCCTCGCCGAGGAGCGCGCCGCACACGACGACAAGGTACGTCCCGCACCACATCGTGGCGCTCAAGTCGCAGGCGTCCACCGTGCGCGACCAGATCCTCGCCGAGGAGCGCGCCGCACACGACGACAAGGTACGTCCCGCACCACATCGTGCCGCTCAAGTCGCAGGCGTCCACCGTGCGCGACCAGATCCTCGCCGAGCGCGTCGCACACGACGACAAGGTACGTTCCGCACCACATCGTGGCGCTCAAGTCGCAGGCGTCCACCGTGCGCGACCAGATCCTCGCCGAGGAGCGCGCCGCACACGACGACAAGGTACGTCCCGCACCACATCGTGGCGCTCAAGTCGCAGGCGTCCACCGTGCGCGACCAGATCCTCGCCGAGGAGCGCGCCGCACACGACGACAAGGTACGTCCCGCACCAGATCGTGCCGCACAAGTCGCAGGCGTCCACCGTGCGCGACCAGATCCTCGCCGAGGAGCGCGCCGCACACGACGACAAGGTACGTCCCGCACCACATCGTGCCGCACAAGTCGCAGGCGTCCACCGTGCGCGACCAGATCCTCGCCGAGGAGCGCGCCGCACACGACGACAAGGTACGTCCCGCACCAGATCGTGCCGCACAAGTCGCAGGCGTCCACCGTGCGCGACCAGATCCTCGCCGAGGAGCGCGCCGCACACGACGACAAGGTACGTCCCGCACCAGATCGTGCCGCACAAGTCGCAGGCGTCCACCGTGCGCGACCAGATCCTCGCCGAGGAGCGCGCCGCACACGACGACAAGGTACGTCCCGCACCACATCGTGGCGCTCAAGTCGCAGGCGTCCACCGTGCGCGACCAGATCCTCGCCGAGGAGCGCGCCGCACACGACGACAAGGTACGTCCCGCACCACATCGTGGCGCTCAAGTCGCAGGCGTCCACCGTGCGCGACCAGATCCTCGCCGAGGAGCGCGCCGCACACGACGACAAGGTACGTCCCGCACCACATCGTGCCGCTCAAGTCGCAGGCGTCCACCGTGCGCGACCAGATCCTCGCCGAGCGCGTCGCACACGACGACAAGGTACGTCCCGCACCACATCGTGGCGCTCAAGTCGCAGGCGTCCACCGTGCGCGACCAGATCCTCGCCGAGGAGCGCGCCGCACACGACGACAAGGTACGTCCCGCACCAGATCGTGCCGCACAAGTCGCAGGCGTCCACCGTGCGCGACCAGATCCTCGCCGAGGAGCGCGCCGCACACGACGACAAGGTACGTCCCGCACCACATCGTGCCGCTCAAGTCGCAGGCGTCCACCGTGCGCGACCAGATCCTCGCCGAGCGCGTCGCACACGACGACAAGGTACGTCCCGCACCACATCGTGGCGCTCAAGTCGCAGGCGTCCACCGTGCGCGACCAGATCCTCGCCGAGGAGCGCGCCGCACACGACGACAAGGTACGTCCCGCACCACATCGTGGCGCTCAAGTCGCAGGCGTCCACCGTGCGCGACCAGATCCTCGCCGAGGAGCGCGCCGCACACGACGACAAGGTACGTCCCGCACCACATCGTGCCGCTCAAGTCGCAGGCGTCCACCGTGCGCGACCAGATCCTCGCCGAGCGCGTCGCACACGACGACAAGGTACATCCCGCACCAGATCGTGCCGCACAAGTCGCAGGCGTCCACCGTGCGCGACCAGATCCTCGCCGAGGAGCGCGCCGCACACGACGACAAGGTACGTCCCGCACCACATCGTGGCGCTCAAGTCGCAGGCGTCCACCGTGCGCGACCAGATCCTCGCCGAGGAGCGCGCCGCACACGACGACAAGGTACGTCCCGCACCACATCGTGCCGCTCAAGTCGCAGGCGTCCACCGTGCGCGACCAGATCCTCGCCGAGCGCGTCGCACACGACGACAAGGTACATCCCGCACCAGATCGTGCCGCACAAGTCGCAGGCGTCCACCGTGCGCGACCAGATCCTCGCCGAGGAGCGCGCCGCACACGACGACAAGGTACGTCCCGCACCACATCGTGCCGCTCAAGTCGCAGGCGTCCACCGTGCGCGACCAGATCCTCGCCGAGCGCGTCGCACACGACGACAAGGTACGTCCCGCACCACATCGTGGCGCTCAAGTCGCAGGCGTCCACCGTGCGCGACCAGATCCTCGCCGAGGAGCGCGCCGCACACGACGACAAGGTACGTCCCGCACCAGATCGTGCCGCACAAGTCGCAGGCGTCCACCGTGCGCGACCAAATCCTCGCCGAGGAGCGCGCCGCACACGACGACAAGGTACGTCCCGCACCAGATCGTGCCGCACAAGTCGCAGGCGTCCACCGTGCGCGA